GTCTGGACAGAAGAGCTGTAATGGTGCTGTGCTTGCTGTACTTTGCACCAAGGCCTTTTTATTTCTCTCTGCCTTTCTTGGTCTCCTCTCCCCTTCTCACCTTTTTTCCTTCCTCATCCACCTCTTGCTGTTACAGGAATGACCCTGTCATTGTAATCTGCCTGCTTTTGCAGATATATTCCTATCCTCCTTTGTTCCTTTTGAAGATTGTGGCAGTTATAAATTAGGCTATTTGAGGTGTCCCCACCCTGCTCTTCCCCTCATATGCTTCCATCCCCTAACTTTCTGCCAGAGACTCACACAAGCATCATCACTGCAAGGTTAAGGGCATCAGCAGCCAGTGAAGCTGTGCTTCTTCCTCAGATGAGTTGAATTTGCAGATGTTGACATCTGATTTCATTCACCTTGTGGTTGTGGCCTCTCCTTTACCTCCCACATGGGACCAGCCTGTCCAAAACCATCTTGCTCCCCACTGTGGTTCTTCATCCTGCCTCCTCTCTTTCCTTCTGGTTTCACTTCTCTAAGATCAAGAAGTGTGTAACTTATTTTTGTAGAGGTATAGTCCCACAGGGCAAGTGGTACCTGTGCTTGGTAACAACAGATCTTTTCTTTTTTAAATTTATTTGATTAATTAATTAATTTTTGTTACAGATGTTTCTCCCCCCCCCCACACTGATTCCCCCTACCCCTCCCTCCCTGCCCTGTCCCCAGCTTTGTTGTCCATGTCCATTGTTCATGCATACATGCATATAAGTTCTCTGGTTTATCTCTCCCCTACCACCCCCTCTTCTGGGGATTGTCAGTCTGTACCCCACTTCCACATCTCTGGGACTACCCCGTTCCTCAGACTGTTATGGTCATTATATTCCACAAATAAGTACATATTGGTCTGACTGGTGCCAGATGAACTTCTTGGTCCTCTTCTTGACAATCTTGGGTTTCACAAGGGGTCCGAGCGCAGCCATAGTGCTGAGTAGAAGATTGCTGCCAACTCCCCAGATCTTTTCTTTAGCGTTTGACCCAAAGAAAGGAAACCACCTCACTTATCAGAGCACAGACCATTATTTTCTTGAGTCTGCTCAGTGCCACTTGGCAAAAAATAAAAGGCTTCCCAGGAAAAGCCACAGGAAATCAAACATTTTTAGCACCTTGCCTCTGGTGTGCTTATGCTCTAACACTTGCCTTGTGTCCTGTGACCCTCAGAGCAGAGTCAGCGAGTGATGAGCTATGGGTTTCTTTCACTAGCCATGGAGGTTGGGCTTCTAACACAGGAGGAGCCTTGGACCTTGGGCCAGGGCTCCGTGCATCCCTGTAAAAAGAGAAGGTGGGGGGAAGGGGCAGGGAGGGAAGGGGGAGGGGGGAACCACTGGGGGAAAAAAGGAGAATCATTTGTAACAAAAATTAATCAATAAAAAAAAATAATAATAATAATAAAAAAAAAAAAGAGAAGGTGCCCTTACATGACAGGATTCCTTGTTGTTGCCCACATCTAGATGCTTTCTCACAGAACATTGAGGACTGTTTAATTCCATTTGACTGTTAGATGTTCAGAGGAGACGGATATTCTCCTTGTAGTGTACCCTGTAGGAAAGTTTCAACTTGGTCCAGCTCTTCAGAGAATGAGTCCGAGAGCAGATTGATTGCAAATCCTTGTCCAAATAGAGAATGGACTGACTCATGATACCTGGATAGACTCCAGAGCGAGATGCAGTGCCATCTCCAGCTGCTGGCAGAGCGCTCCCTCTCCTGCTTGGACGGTCTGAACACGCCGTGTCCAGTGGCATCTGGAGATGACCAGCGTCAGCTTTCCACTGAAGCTGTTGGGCTTATACCCCACTCTCTAATCTGATGAAAGATTTCCTCCTCAGCTGTGATAAGCTGTCCTGTCTGATGTAATAGAGTTTGATGAGTGTATTAGTTTTGGGAGTGCCAGGGGGCAGTGAAGAATTCAGGGGAGAGGAGGGAGAGAGGACCAGTGGCCTTGCCAGCATTTCCCAGGGGTTTGAGCATATCTGAGTATGCGGCAGCACAGCGTAGGGTCTCCAGAGGCTTAGTTCTGGGCTGCTTCTACGATGTACTCATCTGATCTTGGGTAAGTTCCTTAACGTCCCTGAGCCACATTACCCTCATCTGACAGAGAAAAATCAAAGACACCTTGTCTATCAAACAGAGTTGATGTGGGCAGAAAATGAGTGTTTAGGAAAGTGTATGTTAACCATAAAGCATTATTTTGACATAAGGCATATTTTTAAAGCCAGTAGTTTTATATTACATGCCAAGTATGCTAGTCATTTTCTAGTTTGGGGACAGAAGCACATTTACTCAGACATGGTCCATATGCCCTCTTGAAGGGCTTTTCTCCACTCAGGCTCCATTTCCGGACCGGGCAGATTTCCTGTCTTCCCTAAAGCCCTGGAGAAAAGGAAGCAATTTGCTCTCCTGAGAGGAAACTTGGATGAGACCCCTCAAATTCATCTAATGAAGTGGATATTTTACCACAATTTAAAAAAAAAATCAACTAATGTATTAATTAGGCCCATTTGTCTTATTTGGCCCTCACAGTGATATGAAAGAAAGAGTTCACGTAATAAAGTTGAAAAACTTAGAGCTTTCCCATAAAAATCTTTAATTAGGTTTTTCCTAAGATAGCAGGACACGTGCTCTTTGGTCCCTTTGTAGCCCTTTCCCCACGGTGCTCACTGCATATGGAGTTTGGTCACTTGCCTGGCCTATGGAGGCATTTGGGATTGACCCTGTTTGAAGGGATCTAAATCCCACAGATGATAAACTTTGCATTTTTGATGGAGGAACTTGAATAGGCAGTCTCGTTTTTAGATTGGAGCAAAATGATACATTGTGGAATTTTAAAACCGTAAGTTACTTGTGGAAAGCCTTGAAACGCCCTTAAAAGGTAATGGACATTAGACTAACATGAGACAGAGTATTTACTCAGGAAGTGACACTGGTATTAATAAATAAATAAAAACCTTAGGGAAATTACAGTTCTGACAGATTATGCTATGGGCATAGATTTTCTTTGAGTGTCTGTAACAGTTTACAGAAAACATCCAGGTCATTCCCTGACTCTAGGTACCCATTTTCCATTCTGTTGTTAAAACAGTCATTGGGTGCCAACTTGTGTTACAAATTTGAGTAAGAGGTTTTATTCTAGACGCAGGGGTGGGGAACGTCCGGCCTGAGGGCCCTATCAGGCCTGCGAAATTAATACCAGCTAACATCACATGCCTCACCAAATTAGCCTGACCAAATATAGCAGTCTAATTTTTAAGTTGATAATTTTATATGGCCCATGAATGGTATTATACATATCCAAATGGCCCTTGGCAGAAAAAAGGTTCCTCACCCCTCTGAGGTTTCCTAGCCAGAGAATTCATGGTGCTCTCAGAATGTAGTCTGTTGTGCTTGCCTAAATACATTTTGAATCTTTCATAAAATAAAATATTTTAAACATAACTCAGCACCAATCAGAATGAGTATCATCTGACTGGATTTAAGTCTAGGTTCATAGTGTTCTTAGGAGACAAAAATAAGGACACTGTAAAGATAAAAAGCAAAAGAGAAACACATGTTCTAGGGAATACTAACCAAAAGAAAACTGACACCACTTTATTAATATTAAAAAATAGATTTTTTAATTGATTTTTTTTTTAGACACACACACACATCGATTTTTTGGTTCCACTTATTTATGCATTCATTGGTTGATTCTTGTATGTGCCCTGACCAAGGATCAAACCTGCAACCTTAACATACCAGGTTGATGGTCTAACCAACTGAGCTGGCCTGCCAGGTCCTAAACAATGGATTTTAAGGCAAATAACGATTACTTAACAGTATCCTTGGCCTCTATCTAATAGATGCTAGTAGTACCTCCCTTCAGTAGTGACAACCAAAAATGTCTCCAGACATTGCCAAATGTCCCCTGGTGGGAAAAATCAACCCAGGTTAAGAACCATTGTTACAAATCTTCTCTCCAGAGAAATACATACTTTTGCATACAATTTCTCCCCTCTCCATTATCTAGATGGTCTTGCCCTCACCAAGGATGGTTGAACTGGGGCGCTTTTGTAAGAAAAAGCAGTGGGATAGCCGTGGAGCCCGGACATGTGGTCTGTGCTCTTTCCACAGCTTCCCCTTGTCTAGTGTATGGACTTGCGCATGAGTGTGTGCATGGAGTTCCTGGGACTGAGGGCCTGAGGGCTGAGACTGCCATTAGTTCCGCAGACTTTGGACTTCTGTTTTGTTCTAGGCTTTTTGCTAGGTGCTAATTACAGAGAGTTCATCAAATCCATGACAGTAAAAAAAAAGAAAATAAAAAAAAAAAGATTATAAAATGTGATACATGTGGTCATGAAGGAGTGAAAAAGGGAGAGTTTATCTCTAGGGAGCAGGTGATTAACTATATGGGATCAGAGAAGACTCCACAAAGGAGAGGTGGACAGCCAGGCTGGGTTTTACAGGATAAATGGGAGTTTGCAAGGGGGAGGACACTGCAAGCAGGTGGGCCAGCACCCTAGGTTCTGGGTGTTAGTAAGAGCTCAGTGGTATAAAACAGGAACAAAAGATAAAAGGTATGGATGAGGTGTGCTTAGGAACTTGGACTTGATCGGGCAAGTAGTTGAAGTATTTTAAGTGGGGAAGTGACACAATCAGATTTGTGTTTAGAATGTTGATTTGATTGGCTCTATGAAGGACAGCTGGTAGTCCAGGAGACTAGTAGGAGGCTATACAAAGAACCCAGATGAATGATGAGGTCTAGCACTATCACCGCGGCTGTTGGGATGGAGGGAGATGAACTCGCAGGGAGTCAGGTCCCCAAACCCCAGAGTTTAGTAAAGGGAGGTTCATATCCAATACCTCGAAGGACACAGTCATATTTCTGGCCAGAGAAGACACTACCCTTAGCTCTTAAAATAAAGACATAAGTTTTTATTTGAGAGAGATTTTTTCCACTTTTTATATACATTTTTTTCCTCTAGGAAATAGACAGACGGTTGGAAAAAAAACTGAAGATCACACAAAAGGAGAGGTAAGGCTGCTGTCTGGTCTGAGGGCTGGGCAGTCAGTGGTGTTCTCCAGCTGGCTGTTAGGGTTAGCAGGTCAGGCTCCTGGGCAGTGAATCCTTCCCTCAAGGACATGGTGGCTTGCGGTTTGGGGATTGAGGCTGGAGTGTTGCACTTGCCTCCTACCTGGAGTGGGCACCCTGTGTAAGGTAGTTTGATGGAAGTGGGGAGGTGACAAGTCAGAAGACTTGGGTTTTAGGCCTGGCTCTGCTCCCAATTGCTCTGATGTTTGGGACAAGTGGTTCCCCCCATCTGGACATCAGTTTTTTTTCTCTGTAATAAAAGGAGGTTGGACAGATGATTTCACTGGGCCTTCTGTGACTTGGTGGCTTAGGGCATTATGGGGGTATCCTGGAAGAAAAGTCTCAGAAATTCTTAGACCTTGAAGGATAGCTTTATTCCCCACCTACAAAGCAGAGAAAGTGGGTTTCCAAAGCAGGAGAAAGTTGACTTCAGCAGTCTGTCTTTGGGCTTAGGTAACCTGTCAGCTTCCCTCAGGAGCAAGTGACAGGAAGGAGGAAGAGAAGGCCTCTCTGGACTTGCCTAATAGGCTACACAGACATTCCTCAGGGAACTCTGGGGTGTCCTGCTTGCCCAATAGCTTTCCTGGCTCCCTTCCTCTTTGATCAGATTGCTAGCTCCTTGTCTGTCTGCTCATCTCAGCATCTACACTAACACCTGGTACAGTACCCTTGCCGTTGCCATCCCTGTCCCGCTCAGGACTAGTTTTAGTTCCCCTGACAGCACCTGGGTTCCTCCAGTGCCTACCCCTCCTGACATCCAGGGATCTGTAAACAGCCCCCTATGGGCTCTTTTGTCCTGAAGAGAAGCTAGTTGACTGCTCTGGGAGGGTCTTTGTGGCTGTTAAGGGGTGGTCATTCCTGCTTGGATCCTTTTTCTCCTGTGGCTTTTGTTTCTTTTCCTTCCTATGTTGTTTTCCACCTCTCCTTGTGGACACATCGCCTGATGTGCACATCCACCAGCCTTGGACAATGCTTCTCCTTTGAGCACTGCCAAGCACTGTTTCTAGGATCGTCCTTCACCCCAACCCCGCCGCGTCCAGCATACCAGAGAGCCCTGGTGAGGGAGGTGTCTCTGCTCAGAAGCTCTTCTGAAGAGGTGATCCAGTTGTTTGGTGTAGCTTGTCTTTGGGAGACACAGATCACTTACCAGAAGGCTGAGGCAGTTTGGTAAATCCTGTCTTGGTGCCAGGCAGGGATGGCGGAGCGGGCTCCTTGGTAGTCTTTGGTTTGAGCACTCGTGGTGGAAGACCTTGCTGGGAGTAAACACTTTGTTGACCCCCAAGCTAAGGGGCTCCCACCACACCAACCTGTTACACTCTGATCTGTGTAGGGAAGCTGGGATTTTAAAGGAAGTCATTGGATTCTGGACATGAAATGTTTTGCCACAGGGGCCAAATAGTGTTTGATGTGATTGTGATGAACATGGGAGTAGAAGTCCCAGAAAATGAGATGGTGTTCCAGCCCCCTTTGCCTGGGGTTAGGTCTGAGGAGCAGACCTGTGGACTGTGTGAGCTTATGGTAAGGTTGCTCTTTTGAGAAACCCTTCTTGAGGAGTGAGAATTCTGCTAATCTGGTCAGAGACCAGAGAGTAATGAATAGAAATAGGAGGTGTAGGAGGAGGAAAGTGATGAAGGGTGGGTGTGGGACATGGATGGGGTCTCTTCAGTCAAGGGTAGGAGTTGTGAAGCTGTGTTTGCTCTTTGTCAGCAGGAAATCCAAATCTCCTCCCAAAGTGCCCATTGTGATTCAGGACGATAGCCTTCCCACCGGCCCCCCCCCACAGATCCGCATCCTCAAGAGGCCCACCAGCAACGGTGTGGTCAGCAGCCCCAACTCCACCAGCAGGCCAGCCCTTCCTGTCAAGTCCCTAGCACAGCGGGAGGCAGAGTACGCAGAAGCCCGGAAGCGGATCCTGGGCAGCGCCAGCCCTGAGGAGGAACAAGAGAAACCCATCCTCGACAGGTGAGTGTAGCTGACAGGGCTGACTGTTGTCTGTCCCATCAGGCCACCTTGAGGAGGAGGTGGGAGAGGAGGAGGAGAGTAGCCTGGCTGCACGTAGAGTAGTGAGAAGCAGGCCGAATCAGGGTTGGGACCATTGCAGCTCCAGCTGTCCGCCTGGCCTACTGGGCCAGTTCATTGTGCTGCACCAGCCAATGCACTTTTCTGGAAGATTTGAGGAGGTCCTGGTTTGCTGGAAGACACCAGGGGGCAGTGTGGCATGGAAATTTAAAGGTGTGGACTTAGAATCTGCTAGATAAGAGTTGAAGCCCACCCCTGCCACTTCTACTTAATTTAGAGCTGCTTAACTTCTCTGTGTCTTCATAGACTAATCTGAAAAATGGAATAATGATAGTACCTGTCTCATCAAGTTGTGGTGCAATTAAATGAGCGCAGGTTTCTGGGAACCCTGCCTGACACAATGGAAAGTGCCCAGTTCAGTGTGTAAATGTTATCTTCTGGTTCTCATAATAGCCCACTGATGTTTTTGTGAATTTTATAAATTCTTTTTTATTCCTGGTATTTTTATCTCCACAGTTCTAGAGGTTGTGTTTAAATTTGTCACCTTCTGATAGAGCAGTATTGGTTCAAACAACCTCTTTCTATCTTTGAGAGACCTGCTTGGGCTTGATATTCTGGCACTTGAACTAATCTGTGTACCTTCTTTCTATCCCTTTATTATTTTGTGAGTTCTTCATTATCTCTCCTCTAACCATTCACTTGGCAGAGAAGAAAAAGTCCATTTCCTTTAGTCTTCCGTAGTAATAGGAGTCAACCATTCACCACATGATTTGGAGAGGAGCAGGAGGGAAGCAATGGCAGGTGCTGAGCCACTTTACTGAGCTCTGGGTTAGGAGTCTTACCTTGGCCCAACACTCTGCAAAGTCTATGCTCATGGTTCTGCGAACGATATGCTGTCCGTGGTCACTGCCTCTGGGCAGCTTGGGTCCTTGAGGCCCCCCTGCCTCCAGATGAATGATGGTGAGCCAGACGAGGGGAAGAGTGCTGCAGGTACTAGAGGTGGACATGGGCCATCCGACACATATAGGAGCTTTCTATCCTGGAGGTGCTCTAAGTCTGCTTGCCAAAGAAGCAGGCTCAGGGAGCCAGAGTTGGCTGATAGCCACTGTGACTTCTGTCCCAGCTACAAGGGTGGTTAGTTTTAAGATTTGGGGACCTCTTTGAAATATTTTTTCAAGCCTCCCTCTGATCTTCTTCCCTTCAGGCCAACCAGGATCTCCCAACCTGAAGACAGCAGGCAGCCCAATAATGTGATCAGGCAGCCTTTGGGTCCTGATGGGTCACAAGGCTTCAAACAGCGCAGATAAATGTGGGCAAGAAAGAATGCCACCGCTGCCGCCATCACCACCTCCTGGGTCGTCCGCCACGGGTTGCACTGCCATGGCAGACAGCTGGACTTGAGCAGAGGGAAGGACCTGATTTACTTGCACTGTGATCCCCTTTGCTCCGCCCACTGTGACCTTGAACCCCATGCACTGTGACCTCCTCCTTTCCCCCCCTTCCCACTGTGATTGGCATGTCTACAAGGGCTGTCCCAAGTCAATGGAAAGGGAAAGGGTGGGGGTTAGGGGACTTAAGAGTAGAGAGTCAGACAGTGCCACTTGGCCACTTGGGGTAAAGCCAGTGCCAGCAATAACAGTTTATCATGCTCATTAATTTGGGACTTCAAAACAAATGAGAACTCCTGTCCACCCACCCCCAAGTGCATGTCTTCATCACTTAAAAGCAAGTTCCATTTGAAAAATATCCTTTCTTTTTTTTTTCCTTCCTATTTTTGTTTGTTTATACAGATATCTGATTTGCAAGAAAAAGTGCATGGGAGGGGTTTTAGCAGTTTAATGAATTTTTAATTAAGAAAGGGTAGTTTGTTAGTCTACTTAAAAATGTTTCTGGGAAATTCACTAGGAACATTAACCAATAGGTTTTTGGTGAGCTTAGCTTCTGTATTCCTACTGCCGCCCAGAAAAGGGGCAGGGCTCTGTAGCCCCCAGGACAGATGAGCACCCCATGCCTATACCTCCCTCCCCACAGCTAAGTCCCAGAGCATCATGGCCCTACCTGGAGACTGGGCTAGTTCTATAGGCTCAGAGAGCCTGGGGAGGGTTCAACCCCACCTCTAGTATTTTGGGAGATAGGGAAAGTGGACAGACTTTCCCTTCCCATTCCCCTCAGGGTGGTTCCCTACCAGCCAGGCTTGCTACTTCTGGAAGAAAGCGGGGAGTGAGACTGCACTCCTGAGCTTGGAAGTAAATGATGCGAGGCTTGCTCAGTATGTTGCTGGCAGCACAAGGAAAGCTAGGAGAGTCTGGCTCCAGGTATCAGCCTCCTGCCTAGTGTGGTTAGAAGGTGTCTGTGGAGTGCCATCTCTATTGATGGCATCAACTTGGTAATTATACCTGGTACATTTCCTTTGTGAAATCACTACCTTGAAAGCAGACCATTCTGAACACATATGGGAAAAGACAAGCTGTGCATTGCAAAGATTGGTGATGACAGACTGGTTCCCCCATAGATCTAGGCTTCCCTTCACCCTTTTTTCCAGAGCAAGAGCCTGGAATGAAAGCAGTTTCCTCTCTGTCCCTGGAGTCTAGAGATTTGCTTTGGCTCCTGGAGGTGGAAGAGACTAAGAGGGCAGCTGCCTAGAGCAGCTCTGTGTGTGTACAATCTGGCTCCTCTCAGGCTTTCTCTGGTCTCTTCTGTTGCACTGCGCCTTATTCCTCAGCCAGCCAGCCAGCCAGCCAGCCAGCCCCCCCACTCAGTGGATGAGTTTTGGAGTGGTGGGTGTGACGTTTTTGTGATTAGGGCAGCTTGTGGTGGCCAAGGTGGCAAGCTAAGTTTTGGAGGCTCACTCCACCTTTAGTTCATCTAGCTCTTGGCCTTGCCCTGTGGGAATGTAGGCCAGGCTCAGCAAGCCATGTGCCACTACATATTCCCCTTTGAAGGAAGGGCCAGCTGCCAGTTGAATCAGCAACTAGACCATAGCACAGTCTTGTGACCTGTGTGGAGCCAGGAGATTGTCTGTGAGCAGAGCTGGAACAGAGAGCTTCAGTCAGGAACCTACAGGGTGTTGAATTGGGCCCATAGACTATTGTGATGGGGAATTACCTTCAGGCGTGGGCAAGGGAAACGGTTGGCTGTTGTCTTTATAGTTCCACTGCCCTGCCAGGTTTCCTCATTCTAAATGTAGTGTCCATCCCTCATGTAATAGTGGTTTCTGGCCCAAAATGAGATTGTCCTTTCAGTTGGAGAAGGGTATAGAGGTAGGCCAGGTGGAAAGGCCAGAAGTGCTGATTGCCCAGCCACTGGGACAACCTGTTCTTGCCTCCCCCTCCCCTAATGGAGCCAGAGGGAAGACTAGCTGATGGGTGTCTGTGGACTGAAGATATAGTAGGGACTGGTGCTCCCACCTCCCTCTGGCCAAAGATGGGGCTCTGCCCGCTGTGTGCCTGTCACCACCCACTAGTAGTCATATCCTTGGCTTCCCAGATGGAGAGGCAGCAAATTTTTTTTAAAAAGAAATGAAAACAGGAAACTATTGTGTTGGGGGAGGTGGGAGGGGAGACGGGAGAACGGTTTGGTGTGCGTGTGTGCGTGTGTGTGCGTGTGTGTCTGTCAGGTGTGGGTTGTTTTTTTTTTTTTTGGTAGTTGTCTGTAACTTTTCCTGAAGTGCATTTTTTTTTTTAAACTTTTTTAAGTAAGCTGCAGGCTTTGGCTTAGAAAACCCCCGGTGGGTCGGGGGCAGAGACCTGAGGCTGCTGCCCCTTTATCTGCCTTCATGGTACTGTCCCCTTCCCCCAGCTCCTTCCTGACCCCATGAGCCAGGCCTCCGACCTTCCAGCTAACTGCTTCCCATGAGCCACTACTCTTGTCAGCCTATAACCAAAGGAGCTGGGGGTCTGGGCCTGGTGACCAACCCTTCTCAGCCCACTCAATCAGGGTGCTCCCCACCTGCAGGCAGGAGGCAACACCCTATCTGCTACCATCAGCCCCTTCCAGAGCCCACTGCCCCACCCTGCCCTGTCCAGCCCAGCCATACCCTGCTCTGCCCCATCTGGGGATGCTCTGCTCAGGGATGGGCTGGTAGGGCTGCCCCAGCTTCCCTGCTAAGCAGAGACTGTGGAAACCTCTGGGGTCCTATTTTCTGGCATGTGATTCCAAGGGTGCACATGGGCCCTTTGGGTGTCTGAACAGAAGGGCATGGGAGGGAGGGCCGCACCCCTGCAGTCCTGCTCTGCTGGTCTAGCGGGCAGCTGCCCACCCCACCCCGCACCGCGGGCTCCTGAGTCGGCAGATTAAGCATTTTATAAATTGTATTTTAAATACATGTTTTAAACTTGTCAGAGCCTTGTCCTCATTTCAGTCCCTGGCCTCCTAACTTCTTGCTGTGGCTGCTTATTTAACCACTGGGAGCTACCTCTGCTCAGTCCCAGGGAGGGGCTCTTTCTCTTTGTTAGAGAAGTAGGCCTGGGGTGGTGTGTATGTTGGGGGGCAAGGACTCACACCCTTAGGCTCCAAGGGAAGGGGACCCGTAGGTCCTGGGGCTCTGTTGGTAAGAGCATAGATGAGGCCCTTCCTGCTCTTCCAGGGGGTCTGCCCCTTTCACGGGTCAGGATCTCTCCCAGGTATTTCCCTTATGTTCACCACTCCCTTTGAGCAAGTAGAGAGAATTCCTGCCCTTGTGTGGCTCCTAGTCCAAAAGGAAAAACTCCTCTGAGAAGAAGCCCAGCTTAGTTCTTTGAGAGTGCTCAGAAGATCAGACTGCACCCAGGGCCACCTCTAGCCAGAACTCTGACCCTGGGCAGGGTTTTGAGGTATATCTTGTTTCAGGGGTTCCCAAACCTAAGGGAGGCTGGGCCCTGTGCTCTGAGAGCCCAGTGGAGGGGTAAAAACCCAAGTGGAGGGGTCTTCCCTGGCACCAGGATCTCAAGGAAGCAGGTGAGTGCCCAGAGGGCAGGGGCCCCAGCACCAGGCACAAAGGCTGAGGTTCTTGGTGTTTATTGGCTTACCAAGCCACAAAAGCAAAATCCAGCAGTGGTCCCTGCCTGATGACCTGTCTGTCTGCAGGTCCTGAACAGCTGTCCAGTGTCAGGACTCTGCAGGGTCAGTGGTTTCGAGCCGGCACAGAGCTTGGCCACTTTCGGCTGTCAGAGCTGTGTTCCCTAGGGAGAGAGGTGGGAGAGAAGGGTGGGAGGAAACGAGGAATTGCCCTGTGCCCAAGGGGAGAGGAATCCTCCTTCGGGAAGCTAGCGGTCGGGCTCTGGGGCCTGATTCCAAGTCCAGTGTTCTTTTATCCCCAGATTGCTGCAGGGGAAGCTTTCTTCTACCCAGATGCTAAGTCTGTTTTCTGCTACTCCTAACATGGAACCAGACTTGGGCAAAGGACTTGAGTGTTAAAACTCCTGATGAGAAAGGCAGGTAGTGCCAGCCTAAGAGAAAGACGGCATGTACCACTGAGTCCTGGGCACAGGAAGTCTTAAGTAAGTACCCTGATTATGAATAGTCTACTTGGTGCAAAATCCTTCAACAAAGGTTAGTTCCCCCCCTTCTCCTCTTTCTTCCTTGGAACAACAGTCTCCTGGGCATCATTTCTCAGAAGGATGGATTCTCAGGTTATAGGCCAAGGGCCTAGTAAGGAAGGTAGGTGGATGGGTTTGGGCTGGGGCCCCTACCTTTTGGGCACTCACCTGCTTCCTTGCGATCCTGATTGTAAGAAGAGGCTATGGATGTCAGAGCTCGGGCTGGTGGGGGTGCACTGGTACAGCATGTAGTGGCTGCTATGCTTCCGGCTGACCATCTTCTTGTCCAGCTTTGGGCAGAGTGGGATGCAGGGCACTTGGGCGTAGGGGCTCTGCAGATTGGCAGCTGGCGAGGGAGGAGGAGGCAGGAGAGGGAGATGTTTGAGAATACACCCAACCTTGGGAGGCAGGCAGGCCCAAGTGAAATCCTGGGTTTGCCACATAATGAGCTGGGTGGATTTGGGCAAATTAGTTCTCCAAACCTCTATATGAGCTGGAGATGATAGTAGTACCCACCTCACAGTGGATGAGGATCAAAGGGATAGTATGTGCAAAGCACTTAGCTAAATGCTGAGCACAGCCTATAGGCTAGTAACAGCTTTAAAAAGATGTCTTTTGTGATAGGTCCTGGCAGAGTCTGGCAGGCACACTCTAGACTCTGGAAAGCTTAGACCATCACTTGTCACACAGTAGGAATCTAATGTATGGTAACTACTATCACCTCACCCAGTGAAAAGAGCACAGGTTTTGGAGTCAGATCTGGGTATAAACTCTCTGACATGCTGGCTGTGGGGCCCGGGGCAAGTTCCTTAAACTTACCCAGTTTCAGTTATCTGTAAAGTGGGGTATATATGTGATTATGGGGATTAAATTGTAGTAAATCTGCAAAGGCCTAGCACAGTGAGTGACTACAGTGGTCCCTCAATCAGTGATGAGTTGTGAGTGCTGATAACCCTCCATTCTCTGTCCTGGCTCTTGAGACCAACCTGTGGTCAGGGCTAAGGCCCTGGGAGGAGTCCATGCGGAAGGCCTTTGTCAGAGGGCTGGAGATGGGGCATTGATTATCAGCCATTGACTGATGGACACAGTTAGCCCTGAAGGGGAAAACCATGTCTCTCAGCTTGGTTCTGGCTTAGCTGTGTCCAGGGAAAGAGCAGAGTCCCCACTGTGCCCAGGGCCCTCACCATAGTTCTGCTGCTTCAGCCGGCTCAGGATCCTGAGGACCCTTCGTTCTGGGACTTCCAAGGTGTCTGCCTGCTGTGGGTTGTAGGAAAGCTTCTTCCGGGACCGCAGCTGGCCTATGGCCGATTCCATCTCTCGAGCCTTATAGGTACCTTCCTTCAGCTTCTTCTGGTAATAGCTGGGGATGCAGTGCCCACAAAGCTCAGCTTGGCCGTGTTTAATTCACCCTCTTCTTCCCTCACTCTTCCTGGGTGCCTGTTCTGTCTGGCCAGCTCTGGAGCAGGGACACTGGCCCGGGAGTTGGGAGACCTGGGTTTTAGTCCCAGTTCTGCCATTAACTTCCTGTGACCATGAGCAAGTCATTGCTCTGCTTTAAGCCCCAGTCACAGTCACCCCTATGTAAAATGGGGGAAATGGTTATCTCATCTCTGTCACTGCAAGTCACTTGACTTCTCTGAGCTTCAGGTGTCCCCTGGGTGAAATGGATCAAAAAGTCCACCTTATAGGTTAAATAACAATGCCCGTCAAGCACTCAGCAAAGTATGTTGCCCATGGAAAGAGCTTGGTAATGTTACCTTTGATTTCTGTCACTGATATTTTTACTTAGTTGTTCAAGTGTTTTATAAGCCAGATGTGCAATTAACTCCTCGTCTTCCAGATCTCAGCTTAAGGGCTATCTCCTCCAGAATTTCTCTCCGCCCACAGACTAGCTAGGCTCCCAGCCGGCTAGGCTTCCAATAACCTGTACTTATTCCATCGTAACCCACAGCCCACTTTATTTTAACGCATCACTACTTGCCTTTTCTCCACTAGACTGCAGCACCAGTCATTCATTCAACAAATATTCATGGAGTGTTTAGTGTGTACTGGCCACTCATTTAAGTATTTGGGAAAGAATGGTACAGGGTATTTATTCATACAGGGTCCCTTATCATAGTCTCTCGGCCCATCCTTTCACTCTGTCCACTGCCACAGCAACCACTTCCACAAGGGCTTCCACCAGCTTTGCTCAGGCACAAGCTGACATGGTCTCGCCTAAGGCTTGAGCCCCTTGCTTCCTGACCCAAGCTTCTCTGATCCATGTGAAGCCCAGAAATGCAGGGGAATTAAACACTCGTAGGGGGCCCCCTTTGACCAAAGGAGCCAGCAGCTGAAGTATACAGGCTTCTTTCTCTTTCTTCCTCCGAGTTCTGATCCACCATTCATAGTCTCTTCAAGAAGATCCTCTGGGTGGTTGACTCAGTAGCACATCCTTGTACTGGCTCCTCCTCCTCTGCTGTTCATGTCCCTTCCCCACTCCCATTCCCCGGAATAACTTTCTAAGTCAGCTACCTAGGCACATTTCTAGTGGGAGAGGTAGACCATAAACAAATAAAACATACCATGTCAATAGTCATGGGTGCTCTAAGGCAAAAGCAAAGCTAGGTAGGGGGTAGTGGTGAGGGGCTATTTTGTTCACACCTGTCATCAAAAGTCTTGGAGGTGATGGCATTTGAGCAGAATGAAGGGGAGGGGGAGTAAGCCAAATGGATATCTGGAGGGAGTGATGTGTGAGAAGACCAGGAGGTTGCAAAGAGCTTGTTGACCTCTAGGAATAGCAAGGAGGCCAGAGTGGCTAGAGCCTAGTGTGTGAGGGCAGCAAGGTGGCAGAGCCAGACAACCTGGCCTTTGTAGGCAGTGGTGTTGGGAAACTCTTAGGGCTTAAGCTGATGGATGGTTCTGCTAGGGCCTTTGCCTATTCTTGGGATCTGGAATTTTTGGGGTTTGTTGGGCTTCATACACAGAAAGTAGAAAATAAGAGCCTCACATAGAGGTTGGATCTAGACCCCCTATATAAAACTAGGACCTAAAAAGGCAATGCACTGAGTATAAAGATGGACTAGAAAATAACTTCACCCACAGGGGCCAGTAGACATGAGCAGTGTGTGCACAACTTTCTCAGCCACAATTTTAAAGGAAATTGCTTGCTTCCCACCTCCTCTCTTTCCCCTTCCTGTGAGCTTGAATTCAGGTGTGTTGCTGGTAACTAGGCTTAGGATTGACCTAGGGAATGGTGGAACATTAAGTTGGAAAGAAACTGGGTGTTTGGGGGGACTTTGTCGTCCTGCCTGCTTCTTCCAGACTGTTAATATAAGAGAGGAATAAACTATCTTGTTTGAACTCTAGTACATTGGGTCTATTCCTTAACTAAGACACCTAGAATTCTATACCCAGCTAACCTATTCAGTAAGTTTGAGGGTAAAAAATACTTCTACAGACTTAAAAAAAAAAAAATCTCAAAATTTTCACCTCCCACACATCCTTTCTCAAGAAGCTACTGAAGAACGAACATTCTTCAAAAATAAAGGGCATAGTTCTGGCCGGTTTGGCTCAGTGGAGCATCGGCTTATAGACTGAAGGGCTGTGGGTTTGATTCTCAGTCAAGGGCACATACCTGGGTTGCAGGTTCAACCCCCAGCCCCATTTGGGGTCATGCAGGAGGCAACCAATCGATATGTCTCTCTCACATCAATGTTTCTCTCCCCCTCTCCCTCCCCCCTACCTTCCAGTCTTCCTAAAAATAAATGGAAAAATATCCTCAGGTGAGGATTAAAAACAACAACATAAAAGGGCATTAAAAAAAGAAAAGAAAAGGAAGATACACATACAGAACACAGGATCTAACACAGGAGAGAGGCGAAGATAAAGGGAGATCAACAATGGCAGTGCAACTGCCACGTAGGATAGTTTAGATTTGCTCTCTATAGCTTAAACGACAGAATTTTGAGGACTGGCATTTCTATACTTGTTGAATTACTACTGACTTTCTAACCCCAAAAAGCTACTTGGAAAACATGCTCCTCTTTAGGAAACAAACAAGAAAGAGTAAGATATCCAGCAAACAGAATCCTCATTAGAGGAAAGGAAGAAAGAATTCTAGGATAACAACACACTCCCAAAGTAGTCATTCTGCAGTAGGCCTATAAAGATATTAATTCTAAACAAAAAGAATGGAGTTATTTAGAACATGCCCCCATCTAAGATAAACACTAGGAAGATTCAGAAATTATCAATGAATACAAAACAAACAAACAAAAAAAGGCATTAGCCCATTTTAGGAAATAAAAAAAAAAGGAAATGAAATCATAGTATATAAAATGCACAGCTATGAACAGTTGCATAACCATAATAATAAAAACCCCACATATTTAGTAAAAAATGATGAATATATTGGAATGGGAAGGGGGAAGCTAAGGGGATAGTGTATTAGCTAAATCCTTACATCATAGGAAGACATTAGATACTAGTCTAAAAATTACTAACCAAAATATAGTAGTATATGCATATTTTTTTTAAAGTGAGGAGGGAGCCCAGCTGGTGTGGCTCAGTGGATTGAGCATCATCCACTGGACTGAAAGGTCCTAGTTCCATTCACAGTCAGGGCACATGCCTTGGTTTCGGACTCAATCCCCAGTTGGGGGCGTGCAGGAGGCAGCCAATGGATGTTTCTTTCTCACATTAATGTTTCTATCTCCTTCCCTCTCTAAAAAAAAAATCAATAAAAACTTTTTTTTTAATCCTCACCCAAGGATATTTTTTCATTTAGCTTCAGATAGAGCGGGGGGGGGGGGGGGACATTGATGTGAGAAAAGACACATCAATTGGTTGCTCTAACCACTGAACAAACCGGCCAAGGCCAATAAAAACATTTTTAAAAAATGTTTTAGAAGTAAGGGGAGTCAAAAGTGCTTGCCATTGGAAGGAAGACTTCAAGGAGTGGGAAGTGTGTCATATCCGTTGAATGCTAAGCAAAAGGAAATTGGTATAGCCATATTCATATTTTAAAAACTAGAAAGGACAGAAAGCATTACTAGAGACTAAATGATCACTATATAATGATAAAATGTTCAATTCATCAGGGAATATAAAATTCTAAACATGAAATAAATGTAAAGCAAAACCTGATATAACTACAAGGAGAAAGAATTTCATCATCACAATAATGTTAATAAATAACTATTCCACTCTGCCATTGTAGCATCAAAGAATCCATAGATGATATGTAAATGAATGGGTGTGGCTGTGCTCTGATGAAAGTTTATAAAAGCAGAGCAGGCTATATGTGGCCTGCAGCTCAGTTTGCCAGCCCCTGCCTACTATAGACCTTCTCTGAGACTCAAATCCACAGGAGAAACAGCATTTGAAGTTGTCTTCCCAGGTTAGAGGACTTATGAAAAACCTGGACTTTTCACAATTATACCCTAATAAAGTAAAAAATTAAGCCTACACAAATTCATGATGATCAGCTGCCTACAAGAACAAAAATGAACACTTACCAAAGTGTTTCTAAACCATATCACCCAAAATGTCCAGGATGTAATAAAAAATCATGAGACCTGTAAACAAACAGGAAAATGTGACTCATAGTAAGGGGGATGGGGGGGACTCATAAAAAACAACCCTGAGCCCTGGCCAGTTTGGCTCAGCAGTAGAGTGTCGGCCTGCGGACCAGAGAGACCTGGGTTCGGTTCCCGCTAAGGGCATGTGCCTCGGCTGCAGTTGGTCCCCGGTCCTGGTTGGTCGTGTGGGTGTTGGCCACTTGATGTGTCCCTTTCACGTCGATGTTTCTCTCTCTCTCTCTCTCTCCCCCACTCTATCTGAACAAAAAATGGAAAAATGTCCTCGGGTGAGGATCAAAACAAAACAAAACAAAAAAACAACCCTGAAATTGCCCAGATGTTGGATTTAGACAACAGCATTTAAGGAGCTATTAAAAATATGTTCAGATAATTGAAAGAAAATGTGATATTAATGAATGAACAGAAACAAACTATAAACATGAAACAAATGGAAATTCAAGAACAGAAAAGTATAACTAAAATGAAAAAGTCATTGAATGGGGTTAACAGCAGATTAAAGATAGCAGAAAAAGGAATTAGTAAACTTGAGGATAAATAGAAATCATCCAATTTGAAGAATAAGGGGGAAAAAAAAGATGAACAGAATTCTGTGTCTGGCCATGATGGAGCAACTAATACTGAACTTGTCTTAATGCTATAAATAATTAGATACATGAACAAAATATATGAAACTCTTGTCAGATATTGGACAACAAGTAGCACAAGATTGTGATCCCTGAGAGGAGAGAAATCAATGAGGTGAGCCTTATGATCTCCCTAGAATTTTTTCTGGAGGTACTTTGTGGACCGCAGTGCGGGAAGTAGTAAACCAGAACGGAGTTTAGGAAGATGGGATTAGTGTATCAAAATACCAAAGACACTGCAGCTATGCAGAGTTACAAAATATGCATGGGGTACTCTAATGTGTGAACCACCATTTCAGACTGCTCTTTCTAAGACGCAGCCGCCCTCGAGAGTCAGTCCCTGCCTTGCTTTCTCTCACCTTCATGTAATATTCCTTCCATCCCCTCCTTAATTTCAAATGCATAAATTGTTATTCTGCAGAGTGTGAGATCTTGCTCCCTGGTACATATAATCAGTTTGGCTCAAATAAATTCTTACAAAAATTCTCTAGTTTGGATGTTCTTATGTCAACATAAAAGCACTAGAAACTGTATAAAATTCCTAGATATCTGATATGACTTGGTATAATGTTATCAGTCATAATTCCAGTTATCTTAAAATGCTGTATATCACAAAAATAATCAAATAACCCTGTTAATTGCATATAAGTGAATTCTCATCAGATCTTTAACCATGGCCATTTTCAGTCTTTTCTAATTCACAGTTACTGTTTTATTCTGATTCCTCTCTGAAAGCTTTTGCAATCAACTAAAGGTAAAAATACTTCATCTTCAAGGACATTTATGCAAAAGACTCTGATGAGTACTCTGGATTATAGGTCTGTGATAACTTTAACATCATACCACTGAACTGGGTAAGAATTTCCAGAATTCTGATGAAAAAAGTGATGGAGTCCTAAAACTGCTAACTCAAGATAAGCAGAACAAAAATCAGTTATAACAGTTTGGTCAAATTATACCTTTGTAAACAATATTAAAACAACATTTTCTTACCTGATCCCTCTAAAATTCAAAACTCGAATACTTTTATTTTCATAAGTATTTTCTTTTCTTTATTGATTTTTTTTTAAAGCGAGAAGAAGGGAGAGGGAGAGAGAGATAGAAACATCCATAAGAGAGACTATCATTTGGCCACCTCTCGCATGTCCCCCACTGGGGATCAGGCCACAACCTGGGCATGTGCCCTGACCGGAAATCAAACTGGCGACCTCTTGGTGCATGGGTCGATGTTCAACCACTGAGCCACACTGGCCGGGCTTCCATAAGTATTTTTATTTTCATATCAATGTAGTTACTTACATCAATTTAATAAGAATCTATTCTCCTTGTTACAGGATATAATTTAAAATATTGATTATGTTACCAAGACTTTGACACTAATGTCATATTTGAAAATGATAAATATAGGTCAAATATGAACAGACAGTTTAAAGGACTAAAGTTGACTTTATGGAGACACTGCTTAGAAAGCCCTCTTAAGCCTGGCTGGTGTGGCTCAGTGATTGGGCATTGATCCATGTACCAAGAGGTTGCCGGTTCAATTCCCGGTCAGGGCATATGCCCAGGTTTTGGGCCAGATCCTCAGTGGGGGGCGTTCAGGAGGCAGCCAGTCTGTGTTCTCTCTCATCGATTTTTCTCTCTCTCTCTCCCTCTCTCTGTAAAATCAGTAATAATTAAGAAAGAAAGAAAGCCCTCTTAAGATACTGGCCTGGTACCTGAATATCAGAGTTCCAGGTCTTACGGTGTGCAACATAGTGATTCAGTATTTGTATTCCTTACAATGTGATCACCACAATAAGTCTAGTAACCGTCTGTCACCATGCAAAGTTATTACGATAATATTGACTATTTTCCCTATGTTGTACATTACATCCTGTTTTGTTTTGTTTTTTAATCACTGGAGGTTTGTACCTTTTTTTTTATTTTTAATCCTCACCTGAGGACTTTTTTTTTTTTTTCATTTATCTTCAGATAGAGTGGGAGGGAGAGAGGGAGAAAGAGAGAGAGAGAAACATCAACGTGAGAGAGACACATCGAGTGGTTGCCACTTGCATGACCCCAGCCAGGGCCGGGAACAAACTGCAACCGAGGTACGTGCCCTTAGCAGGAACCAGACCTGGGACTTTCTGGCCTGTGGGCCAACGCTCTAACCGCTGAGCCAAACCGGCCAGGGCAGGTTTGGACCTCTTATTTTCTTCACACTTTTTTCCCAGAGGGGAGCTCTGGCAATGCTCATGGCAAGTTTCTGCCTTGACTCCGTAGCCTCGAGAGGCTTTGAAAAGTCCAATCTGAGATTCCTCATGAAAAGTTGCAGCAAAAACAGACCTTAAAAGAGCCTATATGATCAATCACTGTTTTTGCTACACTTATAAAGTCAAACCAAGTTTAATGAGACTAGACTTATTTTTACAAACAAATTACTCTCTGATTACCTTTGATAAAATTGGAGGTGACTATAGAAGAAAAAAATTCTATGTTTCAATAAAAACAATAACACGTTTGTGAGTTGTTGAACGGTGCCATGTTCACTGACTTTGAGCTGCTTGTCCCCTTTATAAACTGACTTCTGCCATTTTATACACTTTGTCAGTAATTAACATTTCCGATTTTTCTCCCACCCTGCAGACTTGGCAACGTGCTAAAAACTAGGACTGCCTCTTTCTCAAAGCCCTACAAGCTAAAGCTGAATGAAAATATAAACTTTGCCCCAAAATATCACAACCGATCATATATAGACAATCTTTGTGCCTGCAGCTGTATGGGCCACTCTAAAATTCACTGGACTACTCAGTCACTCTGTGCCATCACCAAAGACATTCCAGCTGCAAGCCAGGAACTTGATCAGATTGCCACAGCCCGTCCTCACTCTACCATCTAAAGATGCTTTGAGCCCCAGGTATAAAAATCTTGTTGACCCACTGCCCTCTAGACTCAAAAACTGAGCCTACAGTTTGCACTCACCATTAACCTCTGTTTCTCTTTTGTCTCAAAGAAATGGCCCTCATGAAATGCCTGATTACTCACACAGGCCTCACTTGGGTGGTGCCCGGCTCCCATATACACCAACGCCTCGGCAGGTGAGCCACAAGTCTAACTGAACTGACCTGTTCTCAGGACTAACGAGAGAATGATCCACTGAAATATGGGACAGTGTGCTCAGATTTGTCCTTTCCTGCTTGTTCCCATCTATATTTTCCTCCCCCTCTAGCAGAGCTTTTAACTCGAATTTCTCTCCACAGCCGCCAGCTAAACTTTTAATATGTGAAACTGCTAAGTTTCAGATGGCGGGGACAAAGGAGTTCAGGACATGTCACCCCCAAAATAGGCTACTTTGGTGTATTGATTATTTTGAGTTAAAATAATAATCACTTGAAAAACAGCAGATGAAAAAAGGGCACACTGACCTTCCTTTTTCTTTCTGAAAGCCGGAGAAAATAGTTCTGCCCTCCCCGTGCCAAGAGGAAGGAACATTCTTGTCACAAGAGACAGGGAGTCTTGGCTAAGAGAACTCTGTGCAAACAGACCTTGTTAACATAGTTTGCTTTCCTTTGCTCTGCCCATACATTTTAGTGACTTTTCCACAGTTGTCCTTTGTTCAACTGAGTATATAAGCACGTAGTTCTAGTCACTTCTTGGAGTCTTTATTGTTCTTATGAGGGTGCCCAGGTATGTGTAAATAAAATTCATATGCTTTTCTCCTGTTAATCTGTCTCCTGCCAGTCTCAATGGGTAATTCTAGGAGGGTAAAGGGTGAAGGAAGGTTGGTTATTTTCCCCAAAATGAAGTGAGCCCATCACTTCGATAAAAACTGACACAGCATTTTTGTTGCTGTTGATAAAATCAAAACTTTCACATAAAAGTTAGAGTTTTGGAAAACTTGGACCCATTATCACAAGCATCTACAATGCTCATACACAGCACAGTTTATAGCAGCAGAAATTAATGAACTTTAGCCATTCATGATACTTCTAGTACTTCAAGACTTTCCTGATATTAGTGGTAATGGTAATAATTAAACATATAATATCTATATAATTATAATGAGATATATCAACATTTGGAAGATACACAGTATTTTCCAAATGACCAATGCATGTTACAGAAGCATTCATGGGGAAAGATCCATTCAAACTACAAGGCAGACCAATAGATTTTTATTTAAAAGAGTCCAAAACTTCATTGCTGTGCTTTCAGATTCCATATTGCAAGCAACCTTTAAGACACTGCCACTTGTCAAATTTGGTATAGTATCAAAGAAAAATGTACACATGATATGTGGTTATTAAATGCAAATACTACTGAAACGCTCCCTCTCCAATTACATATATGTGTGAGGCCAGATTTATTTGCATATTTCAAACAAAACAACGTATTGCAACTGATTGAATGCAGAAGCAGATATGAGAATTCCACCCTCTTCTTTTATGCCAGACATTAAGAGATTTGCAATATTATAAAACTGTGTCATTCTTCTCATCTATTTTGTTTTGTTTTGGAAAATAGTTATTTTTTTATGAAAATTTTTTTAAATGTTTTTTATGTTAACATGTAATGGAGTTATTGTTAAATAAATGAATAGGTATTTTTAAAATGTCTCAGTTTAAGTTCAAATATAGAAAATATTGACAGAGTTTCCTTGGTGTCCTCAATCATTTTTAAGAGTGTAAAGGGATCGTGAGACCAAAACATATGAAAACTCTTGCTCTGGAGAAACTCTTGCCTGTGTGTCCCAGGACACATAAACAGATATTCAGACTGTTTCTGCCATAGTTGGAAACCAAACATAGTCCTAACCTCTGTCTGCAGAACGAACAAATATATTGTGATATAGCCATACTGCCTAACAGTAAGTAGCAGTGAAAATGATGATGATCTACAGCTCTGCACAAGAACATGAATGAATCACAAAAGCATGACATTGAGGAGAGCCTGGGCCGGGTAGCTCAGTTGGTTAGAGCATCGTCCAGATACGCCATGGTTGTGGGTTTGATCCCTGGTCAGAGCACAGACACGAATCAGCCAATGAGTGCATAAATAAGTGGAACAACAAATGTTTCTCCCCCCACCCCCCCCGCCTCTCTCTCTGAAGTCAATTAAAAAAGAAAACATTGCCCTGGCCAGTTTGGCTCAGCGGTTAGAGCGTCGGCCTGCGGTCCGGAGAGACCCGGGTTCGGTTCCCGCTAAGGGCACGTACTTCGGTTGCAGTTTGTCCCCGGCCCTGGTTGGTCGTGCGGGTGGCAGCCACTCGATGTGTCCCTTCACGTCGATGTTTCTCTCTCTCTCTCCCTTCCTCTCTCTCCCTCCCACTCTATCTGTACAAAAAAATGGAAAAAATATCCTCGGGTGAGGATTAAAAAAAAAAAAAAAAAAAAAGAAAACATTGAGAAAAAGCAGGTAACAGAAGACGTACAGTATGAGTCCACGCATATAAAATTAAAAAATATTCAGGAATACAAACAAATGTGAGTTTAAAATTTTTTTTTAAATCCTCACTCGAGGACACTTTTGCATTTATCTTCAGATAGAGAGAGAGAAAGAGAGAGAGAAACATCAATGTGAGAGAGACACATCGATTGGTTGCCACCCATACAACCCCAACCGGGGCTGGGGACTAACCGCAACCGAGGTACATGCCCTTAGCAGGACTCTCTGGTCCGCGGGCTGACGCTCTAACTGCTGAGCCAAATCGGCCAGGGCAACAAATGTGAGTTTTAAAAAAGCGCTCCACTATATACCCACCAGAATGAATGAAGTGAAGACTGACTACCGAAATTGCATAAGACATGGAGCAACTGGAACTCTCTCAAGTAAAAACACTTATTCTTTAACCTAATAATTCTACTTCTGGGTATTTATCCAAGAAAATAAAAATATATGTCCACAAGAAGACTTGCACAAAAATGATAAAAGCAGCTTTGTTTATTATAACCCCAAACTGGGAGCAGCCCAGAATCCATCAATAAAAGAAGGGATGAACGAACTGTGGTCCACTCATACAGCAAAGGACTATCGATGCCCACAACAGCGTGGGTGAATCTCAGAACAATTGTGCCAAGTAAGAGAAACTAGGCAGAAAAGACTACATACTGTATGTTTCCACTTATATGAAGTCACAACACAGGCAAAACCAATCTGTGATGGAAAAAATTCGAGGAGGGCTTGCCTCTGGAGCGGTGGGTTCAGGGACCAACAGGGAAGGGTCATGAGGGCATTTCTGCAATGATGGTAAACTTCTATAAGTCTTGAGAGGGGTTCAGGTTATTGGGGTGTGGGCATCTATTGAGACACACAGTGATGATTTCTGCATTTCACTGAAGGCAAATTACACCTCGAAACAAAAAGCTCTGAGCAAATATTGACCTTTAGTTAATGTTATGTATACTGAAGCATTTGCAGTGATTCTCAACCTGTGGGTCACGACCCCTTTGGGGGGGTCAAACGACCCTTTTACAGGGGTTGCCTAAGACATAACAGTAGTAAAATTACAGTTATGAAGTAGCAACGAAAATAATTTTATGTTGGGGGTCAGTCACCACAACATGAGGAACTGTATTAAAGGGTTGTGGTATTAGGAAGGTTGAGAACCACTGATTTAGAGGGAAATGACTAATTTATTTTGAGATGAAAAAAAAAAACAACCCATATGGCCTGGCCAGTGTGGCTTAGTGAACTGAGAGGTCCCAGTTCCATTCCCTGTCAGGGCACATGCCCAGGTTGCAGGCTCATCCCCAGTAGGGGGCGTGCAGGAGGCGGCCGATCCTTGTTTCTCACATTGATGTTTTTATCTCTCGCTCCCTCCTCTCTCTCTAAAAAAATCAATAAAGACATATTTAAAAAAGAACCCCAGTATGGACTGATGAATACATGGAGGGGTGGATCGATAGAAGGTAAAACAAGTGTGGCAAACAGCAGTGGTAGAACCGAGATGGTGGGTGTCTGTGTTGTTCACTGTACAATTCTTTTAACTTGGCTGTATGTTTGACATTTTCAGTAAACAATGAGGGGAAAAATAAGCAGGGACTTTTTAAAACAAAAAGCAAGGGAATAATGGTTAGTTTGTTTTTGGGGGGAAAGTTTTGTGATTGGGGTGGGGCACGTGGGAGCTTCAAGGTTATTGGAAATAATCTACTTTTAAACTGGGGAAATGATTTATTGCTTTTAAGTAGATACATTAATGTTCTTCAGTGTTACAGATATTTAGAGCGAGGTGTAGCTGCTGGGAGGAGCGTAGTTCTCGTCTTTGGGGGTGCTAGGTTGATGTTGCTGGAGCAGTCTGCAGTCACTCTCCCCTCCCCCACCCCGTGTAAAAAAGGTCTGATCTGTGGTAGGAAAAAAACAATGCAACTTACTGAGCGGCAGGGACAAGCCTCTGTGATAGACAGGCCTCCTGGGCATTCTGCCCTCACCCTTTGCTTCTAGCTCTCCATGATGTTGTTGTGTGTAGCCATCTCTCCCCCAGTGAAACCACTAACCACCCATTGGCCCACCCTGGAAACAAAGGGAGGCTTCCATCTCTGTTTCTGGCCCCCGGCAGGCTCCATCACATCCATTCCTATATAGGCACTGTACGAAAAATTTCTCTCGCTGCTGAGGTTGCTAAACTAAGAGGGTATGAGTATGGGACGCCACTTGCCATCCTTCCCACTCTGGGAAGAGCCTGGCTGAGCTCGAAGCCAATGCAAAGAGATGAGCAGGAGAGCGAAAACCACCTTAATGGCCTAGCCGGTGTGGCTCAGTGGTTGAGCATCGACCCAGGGACCAAGAGGCTGCGGGTTCGATTTTCCAGCCAGGGCACATACCTGGACTGTGGGCTCAGTCCCCAGTATGTGGTGTGCAGGAAGCAACCAATCAGTGTTTCTCTCTCACATTGATGTTTCTCTCTCTCTCTCTAAATAATCAATAAAACATATTTTTTAAAAAACATAAAGCAAACAAACAAAAACGCCGCAATGGTATCTGGTCTCCTGGACCCATCCATTCCTGAGGCCCTGAGCAGTCATGTGAGCCAATACATTCTTCTTTTACTTAAGCCAGTTTTATTTGGGTTTCTTTCACTTGTTACTAAGAGGCTTCTAACTATCAAAAGTCCTCAGCTGCCAAAACGCTAGGTGCTATTTCTGTGTCCCCAGCCCTCCTCCTCCCAACAGCCAACCCTGCTTACTTGGTGATCTCCTCTAAGGCTGCCTCAGGTAAGGCGAGCATCTCCACCAGCAGGGACAGGATCTCAAAGAGCAGAGTGTGGGGATTTGGGGGAGCCATGTCCGTCTGGACATTCTGTTCTGGGGACATGGGATGGTGGTTGCCATTACCATTTGGTAGCCCTGGGTGCTCCCCACCCCAATCCACCTGTTCCCTCCCCTGGCTCTGACTGCCCTGGGTTCATCCCTGCTCACCCACGGAGCAGAAGAAGCGCTTGGTGTCTGTCATTACAGCCAAGAAGTCTTTGAAGCCCACACGACCATCTCCTGTGGAGGCCAGAAGAATATGGGGTGGGCAGGGGCCTTCCAGAGCAGGTCCCGGCATTGCGACCCAGGCGTGATCGTTATTATTTACTCATTGGGTTTGATCATAAAAGTAATGTATTGTCAATACAGAAAGCATGGTGCACACAGGAAAGTAAAAGGCGAAAATTAAAATCTGGGTTAGAATCTTCTGTAATTTGAGTCCTAGAGGCAGTATTCTGGGTTCATATCCCAGGTCCACCACTTACTATTCATGTGACCTTAGCACCACTAAACCTAGTGTTCCCATCTATAGGGTGAGGGTAACCATAATACCCATTTCATGGGAGATAAAATGAGGAGGCAAAGGGCTTAGAACAGCCCATGCACATGATACATGCTCACTAAATGTCAGCAACTATTATTACTGTGGCCTAGTCACTGCCTGAGAATACATATGTACACACAGATTTCCACTTTGGCCTTCAGGGCCCTGCTACACCTGTCTGTTCAACCTGTCTCCAACTCATCTAGTGCCAAGTTCCTCCGGCACTAACCTGCTCTCCTAACGGGCCACGTTCTCTATTCAGAATCTTTGAACATGCTGCTTCCTCCTAGAGTTTTCTCCACCACCCTCCAACTCCTTCACTTAATACTTGCCCTTGACCATCCCTCAGAGAAGTCAGACCATCCCAGGTCAGATCCCCATCAAACACTCATAAAAACCTCTGTACTTCAACCACATACTCAAGAGATCTGGAATTTAATGGAGGTTCTGGGAGGCAGCAACTGGGCCTGTTTTGTTCTGCACTGTGTCCTCCTGGCTTAAGACAGGTAGGTCTTAGCAAATGTTCTCTGAACTACCTGACAAATGAGTGAATATCTCTAATTCTTAAAACCACCCTCTGAGGGTGCTCAGTACTCTTATCCCCATGTCACCGATGAGGCCTGAGGCCGAGGGTCATGTTCGAGCAGAGCTGGGGTCAATTCCTGGCTTGTGTGTGAAGATTCGCATTTGTGCAGTGATGGAGGAAGCAGTGGTCAGGAGCCCAGGCCCTCAGCCCCACTGCCCTTCATGCCCTGTGTCTAGCCAGCCAAACCATGTGTAATACTAGCAGCTAATGTTTCTGGACACATTCTGTGCACCAGATGTTTGCTCAATGCTTTGCCTGGATTATCCCACTAAATAGTTTCAGCTGCACAGTGAGATGGGTACTGCCATCAGCTTCATTGTACAGATGGGGAAACTGAGGGTTGGTGAACTTCAGTGACTCATCCAAGGCCATACAGTTGGTAACATGAGTGACCAAGACACAAGGGGAATGTTGATGCAGCACACACGAGAGCCTAAAAGGAAGGGATCTCAGATCACGTACATCGTGGGGTCAGGAGGCAGGTCTTGGTCATCTCCGAGTCACCAGAACCTAGCACTAAGCAGTTGCTCAGAGAGTATTAACTCAGGGCTAGGACAAGCTATATAATTTGTGAGGTCCAGTGCAAAATGAAAATGCAGGAAACATTATTAAGAATTTTCTAGACTGGCCCTGACCAGGTAACTCGGGTGCTTAGAGTGTGGTCCCAATATGCCAAGGTTGTGGGTTCAATCCCCAGTCAGGGCACATACAAGAATCAACCAATGGCCCTGGCTGGTTTGACTCAGTGGTTAGAGCGTCGGCCTGCGGACCAATGAATCGCGGGTTCGATTCTGGCCAAGGGCACCTACCTCGGTTGCAATTCATCCCTGGCCCTGGTTGGGATTGTGTGGGAGGCAGCCATTCGATGTCCCTTTCATGTCGATGTCTGTCTGTCTGTCTGTCTTTCTCTTTCTCTCTCTCTCTTGTCCTCTCTCTCCCTCCCACTCTATCTGAACAAAAAAATGGAAAAATGTCCTCAGGTGAGAATAAAAAAAAGAACTAATGAATGCATGAATGGTGGAACAACAAACCAATGTTCCTCTCTCTCTCCCTCTCTCCCTTCCTTTCTCTAAAATCAATAAATAAAAATTAAAAGAAAATTCTAGACTGCAACAGCAGAGCATTAAACCAAGGGCCCTTTAAACACAGAGTCCAGTGCACCATCTCACTGCCTGTGAGGCTGGCCCAGCCTGGGACTCAGAGCGAAGCCCCCTCACTCACCATCAATGTCCGCGCTCATCAGGGCATCCTCCATCTGGGCTGGTGTCAGGGAGATGCCCACAAGGAGCAGGACGTTCTCCAGGCTGCGTGCATCCACCTCACCATGGCCATTGAAGATCTCAAAGTAACTGTGGAAGGCTGGGGCGGGCAGGGCAGTTACATGAGGGGAGGACATTTCTTGTTTCCATCATTCATCTCATCTCCAGCTACCCTCTTGCCCAGTGTTCGCTCCTAGCACGGCTGGGTGGAGGGACAAAGGAGCTAAAAGCATGAAAGTGGAGGCTATGGTCCCACTGACTTCCTCCACTCTCTATACAAGGTCAGGCCGAGGGCTCAGCTGGTGCGGCAGAAGCTAAGCCAACTAGCAACCTTCACTTTGCACCAGGAGTACCCCTCTACGTGCCAGGCTCTGTGCTAAGCTGTTTATAGCCATGATCTCATTCAATTCTCACGACAACCTTATAAGAGTAGAATGCTTGTTCCTTTTATAAAGTTGGGGAAACGGGCTCAGAGTTTAGGTGGCCAAACAGGTCTTTCTGACTCTCAGTCTGCACCTTGAATTTGGTGCTCTGTGGTCCCTTGTCTGCATAGACATGGCTTCTAGGATAGCTGCAGTTGTCTGGACCTGAGCAGAGGACCAGGAAGGATGCCAAGAAAGCCCCAGAGCAGTGCCAGTTGGTACCGAAGCCATGTCCTGGTCATAACATGTGGTGTCTGGTTTCTCAGCCCACAGCAAAATGCGGCTTAGAATCAGCAGAGCTAATGAGATGACTGGCTCTGGGGTGCTGTTATGGGCTGAATTGTGTTCCCCTTCCCCAAATGCGTATGTTGAAGCTTTAACCCCCAGTGCTTTAGAATATGGCTGTATTTGTAGACAGGGACTCTTTTTTTTTTTTTTTTTTTTTAAATGTTTTTATTGATTTTTAGAGAGAGGAGGGAGAGAGAGAGGAAAAAACATCAATGTGAGAAACATCAATCAGCTGCCTCCTGCACGCCTCCTACTGGGGATCGAGCCGGCAACCCGGGCATGTGCCCTGACCAGGAATCAAACCTGGACTTCTCAGTCCATGGGATGATGCTCAATCCACTGAGCCACACTAGCCGGGCTGGAGGGAGGGTCTTTAAAGAGGTGCTTAAGCTAAAAGGAGGCCACTAGGGTTGGCCCTAATCCAATCTAACTGGTGTCCTTATAAGAGGAGGAAATTTGGACACACAAAGAGACACCAGGAATGTGTTCACACACTGGAAAGACCATGTGGGGACACAGGGAGAAGGTGGCCTCCTGCAAGCCAGGGAGAGAGACCTCAGGACGAACCAAACCTGCCGACACCTTGATCTGAGACTTCAGCCTCCAGAGCTATGAGAAAATACATTTTAAGCCCCCCAGTTTGTGGTACTTGGTTAGGGCAGACCAAGCAAACTGGGGCAGTTGCCATGGGCAAGTCATTCCCCTTCTCTTGAGCCTCGATTTTCTTATCTATAAGATGGGCATAACAGTGCCCCCTCCAAGAGCGGCTGCATTAATTCAGTGCCTGGCACCTAACAGACTCTCTCAGTCTGTAAGCCTCTGATACACAGAACTGAAATGTGGGGAGGAGATGGGGCTAGGACTTGGGTTGTGGTGATGTGCTGTGAGCAGCCAAACTGAAAAAGGAAGAAACAGAACAACTCTCAGAAGCAAATCCCATCATCCGAGATGTATGCCAGTTTGGACCCCCAGAGCAGCGTAGCCAGCTCTTTCCTCACCAGCTAGGGCTGAGGGTTGTGCTGGGAACCCTGGTCTCCAAGCCAACGAGGCATGTTGTCCATGAACTCTACTCAAGGCGGGGCAGAGCGCGCTATACTCACTCGGTAAAGCCCATCCAACAACGGCTACAGGGCTTTAATGCTGGAAGGAGTAGCTTGAAGGATGGGGTCAGAGGGAGCCAGAGGGCACATTCGGAAAAGGCGGAAGAAGGGGCTACTGTGGCCAGAGGCCCCAGACTTTGGGGAGGAGTGAAGGGTGGAGAATGATGCACACCCCCTCTTTCAGGGCCAGGGCGAGATGGGGCCAGGCTGGCCGTGTGCACGGACTGCCGAGCAGGCCGTCGCCGGAGCCCATGGAAAGTAGCGACCACTCCCCCTCGCAGTTTGGGTAAGTGGAGTCACAGAGCCCAGCCCCAAGGACGACGGAGAGCAAAGAGCACAGGGCCTCACCCAGGGTAGGTGTTCCGAACTTTTACATTTTGGGGTGGGGGCGGGAGGGGGCGGAACCGGACCGGTGGAGGGCAGGCGGGGCCCTGGAGCCCTGCCTCTGATCCAGGCTGCTTCTACAGAGGACCGAGAGCGGGCTCGGGTGGGGAGCGGTAGAAATGGCTCTGAAACCTACAACTTGCTTCTATCACTCAGCGAGGTGACTGTGGACTGGAGAAGCATGCTGGACCCCAAGCAAGAGGACCCGGCATGAGTTCTGGCCCCCCACCCAGCAGTGTGTGAGCTTGAGCCAACCTCCTACCCTGAACAGCCCCCAGCCAGGTAGTCCCCTGGGTCCACGACACGGGGCTGGGGTGGGCACAGGGCAACCGTCTGATCTGTAAACCACCCCCTACCGCAGGTCTGTGAACCCCAAAAGACTGAGGGTCCTGCCAACCTGAGGGCTTCCCTGGCCAGGCCTCACCTTCCTCCTGCTTCAGGGTGAGGTGCTCCTCGGCCCGCTCCTCCCAGTTCTGATACAGGTTCAGGAGGCAGCGTTCTTCCAGCTGCAGCCTGCAGGACACAAGTGCCCAAGGTGCCCAGGAGCTCCTGCCACGGCTGCACCCAAAGCTCGGGGAGGCCCGGGGAGCGGGGGCACGGATGCGCATGGGCAGGGCCCTGGGGAAGGCTTCGAGAGGTCAGGCGAGGCTGAGTGACCCAGAGCAGGAACGAGGCAGAGGTGGGGGACACGAGAAAAGACGCCGTTGTGGGGAGTTAAGAGAAAAAGGGTCAAGATGGGAAAGGAGACCTAGATATGGGGGCACAGAACTGGCGGAGAGGATGGAATGAGGAGAAATGGAGAGCAGGACACAAGAGGAAACAGACAGGGGGCAGTGACAGGGACAAGGGTCTGGGAGACAGTCTGATCCTGGACACCCTTTTTGGGGTGGCTCCTACCGTGTCTTGGGGTGGCTCAGGCCTCTCTCGCCGCTCTGGTTCCAGAGTACTGTCTTTCTCCAGCCCCGGTCCGGGGCGGGCACTGGCAGGACGGTGACAGGTACAGAGGCTGGGGCAGGGACTCCCACAGGGGCAGGGATTGGCCCAGGGGCCGGTGACCGGGCCCAGGGTGGAGTCATGGCAGGGGCCGAGGCAGGGGTCTGAGGCAGGCTTGAGACTGAGGTGCCAACTGGGGCTGAGATGGGCACAGGGGTCAGGGTCCTGGGGTACTTCCGGTTTGGCAGGGCCCGGACCTTAGTGGCCCTCCGATGCATGGCCTCCTCTTCCTCCACCTCCAGCAAGCACTTTATGAAGCCCTGACAGGTGTTCCCAAGGTTCTGGGTCACTGTGGGCCCCTGAGGCTGCTTCAGGGCACAGTCCAGCTCCCTTCTCTCTTCAGTGTCCCTCACCTCCTGGGGACAGGACAGAGGGAGGGAATCGTGGCCTCCAGCCAGCCAGACTGTCTCACAGTTCCTTCATGCCACCCACTCTCCAGGGACCCTCACACTGCTCCTTCCTCTCGGCTTCTGGAGGCCGTCCCCCAAACCTCACGTGCACCCCACTAGGCTCCCACCCCGTGTGCTCCCCTGCACTTGACTTGGGCGCTGCCACCTCCCAGCTCTCAGCTGTGGTCCTGAGTTACTCGGGGTCCCACCGCTCATTTGTTTCCCTCACTGCAGTCAGCACGGCGGCCTGACCAGAGGTACGCTTCCTCAGAGCAGGGCCCTTGCTACCTCTTTTTTTTTTTTCAATCCTCACCCAAGGATATTTTTTCCATTGATTTTCTTTTTTAGACAGTGGAAAGGAGAGAAGGAGGAAGGGAGGGAGAGAGAGAAATATCAATTGGTTGCCTCCTACATGTGTCCCAACTGGGGTCAGGAATCGAATCCACAACCCATTGGTGTGTGGGACGATGCTCTAACCACTGAGCAACGCTGGCCAGGGCTTGGCCACCTCTTTTATGCGTATCTACCTAGCACTCAGCATATGGTAGGCACTCGGTACATTCCCACTCACCGGTCAGCAGTCTTGCATCTGTCCCTCCCATTACAGGGATGGCTGTGCTTAGTCCACCTCCAACCAGGCCGTGGCCAGCAGGCTCCAGCCCAGCCTTTTCTCCCTAAGATGCAGCTGTAGCCACACACCCTCTTCCCAAGGCATCAGTTCTACCTCCCCACCAGACCGCTCCCATCAGCATGTAAGCACGCCATGTCATCTTCCTTCTTTACATTTTTTTCTTTATTGATTTTAGAGAGGGAGGAAGGGAGAGGCAGAGAGAGATAGAAACATCGATGAGAGAGAACATCGATTGGCTGCTTCCTACATGCCCCCACTGGGGATCGGGCCCTCAACCTGGGCATGTGTCCTGACCGGATATTAAACTGGTGATCTCTTTTTTTTTTTTTTTTAATCCTTACCCGAGGACATTTTTGCATTTATCTTCAGACAGAGTGGGAGGGAGAAAGGGGGGGAAGAGAGAGAGAGAGAGAAACATGGATGTGAAAGAGACACATCGACGGGTTGCCACCCACACAACCCCAACCAGGGCCGGGGACAAACTGCAACCAAGGTACATGCCCCTAGCGGGAACCGAACCCGGGTCTCTCTGGTCTGTGGGCCAACACTCTAACCGCTGAGCCAAACCGGCCAGGGCTCATCTTCCTTCTTTAAAAGAAAAATACTCACCTGACATTGCAAACCCCTCCCACTACTTCCCGGTTCTCCGCTCTTCTTTTAGAGCAAAAGTCCTTGAAAGACTTGACTGTCCTCCATCTCCACTGTCGTCCTGTCTCCAATCAGGCCTCTGCCCACCACTCCCCAGAGCTGTTTTTGCAAGGCCACGGTCAGGTCTCTGCGCTCCCCGGAGTCCAGCCCTCAGCAGTGATGGCCACAGAGGACCGGCTTTCCTCTCTGGGCTCCACTCTCACTGGCTGCTCCTCCCTGGCCTCCTGTGGCTCTTCCTCGCTCTTGCATTTCTAAATTCTGTGTGTGGGGACCCAGGGATTTGTCCTCAGACTCCTGCCCGTGCTGTGTTCGCTCTCTCCTAGAGGTTATCTCCATTTTTCTGACATTTGCGTCTCTAATCCTGACTCCTCTGTCCTCCCTAACTCCAGATGTCCTCCTTGACATTTCTTCTTGGGTGTCTGGAACATGACCAAAGCAGCCCTTTAGGTTCCTCCCATCTGTTCCTTCCCCAACGTCATCACCTCGGTCAAGGACACCACCTGTTGCTTGGGCCCCAGACCTGGAGGCTTCTTTGATTCTTCTTTCTCCTACTTTTCCACCATGCAGCCCATCAGCAAGTCCTGCTCGTACATCCCCAGTCTCTGCTGCGACCACCCGGCTCAGATCATACCATCTCTTGTCCAGTGCATTGCCACTGTCTCTGCCCCTGACCCCACCCACGTCCATTATCCACCCAGCTGCTACATCAGTGTTTCCAAATTACATCTGCTCATCTCATTCTCTTGCCTAAAACTCTTCAATGACTTAGTGTAGAATTAGAATTCATTCCAGCCCTGGCCGGTTTGGCTCAGCAGTTAGAGCATCAGCCCACGAACCAATGAGTTGCAGGTTTGATTCCTGTCAAGGGCATGTACCTTGGCTGCAGTTTGTCCCCGGCCCTGGTTGGGGTCATGTGGGAGGCAGCCACTTGATGTGTCCCTTTCACGTCAATGTTTCTCCCTCCCTCCCTCCCTCCCTCCCTCCCTCCCTCCCTCACACTGTATCTGAACAAAAATGGAAAAATGTCCTCGGGTGAGGATAAAAAAAAAAAAAGAATTCATTCCAAACCCTCACCCTGGACTTTAAGGCTCTGGGTAATCTGCCACCACCGTGCCTCTGGCTTCAGTCCCATCCTCTCCCACCCTAGCTTCCTTCCCCAACTCTGGCCTTCCTGCTGGACTTGACCTTGATGAGCTCATGTCCATCCAGGCCTTGCCACTGCTGCTGGCTCTGCCCAGAATGTTCTCTCAGGTCTGCGCATGGCTTCGTCCTTTCTGTCACTTGGGCCTCGACTCAAATGTTGCCTTCTGGACTGCTGAGCACTCCATCAGAGAATCCGTCATCCCCTCCAAAGCCTCCCCTTGTCCCGCCTGACCTGCATCACTGCTGTCTACAGAGAAACTAGTTATTGGTTCACGTGACAGTGGTCTCTGCCCCAGCTAGATTATAAGCTCCATCCAACTGGCCTGGAGTGGTCAGTGTCATGACTGGCGCATCGTCCTCAGTAAATGTGTGTTCACCAGGCTCTGATTATGCCCCTGTTCTCAGTGCCACCTGAGAAGCGACCTAATGTGAAAAGAGCCCCTAGCACAGAGTGATTGTAGTTGAGAATTCTGCAGCCCAGTAGGGAGACCCTACTTTCCCCTGCCAGACGCCTTTGATTGTTTTCCTGAATTAAGGGTAAATGCTCAATTTCTCTCAGGCACCAAACCAACAAACTTCAAAAGCAGTTCTGGAACTTCTACCACTGTGGTGATGGAGGTCACAGGTCGGGGCCCCAGGTGGCAGCCATGAGCTCAGTCTGTCATCCCTTTTCCCATGGCCCTCCGGGCTGCCAAAGTCCAGGGCCTGTGGCCCCATCTCAGATCCAGATTCTGAGCCCCAGGAGGGTAGGGGTCTGTCTCAGAACCTCCTCGGTTATTCCAGAACCCAGCACTGAGCTTGGCTCCTGGCAGGCGCTCAGCTTAAGAGAAGGATGATGCCGAGGTCCCAGCATCTCTCCTTGATGCTTTTCAGCACCTGCACGTCTGGATTCCTCCCTCTGCCTTCCCTGACTCACCTGACACCACAGGTCTGCACACGCTGCTGGACTGACCTCTGTGTAGTTCCTCTTCTGCCAGTGCCCTGCTACTCCTGAGACTACAGTGACCTATGACCTTCAGATCATCGTCCATCCACCCATACAACTCATACTTACAGTCAGTAACTGGAGGGGCGTATGGGCCAAGGGAGGTGTTTGTATTTGGTTTGTAATATTGTAGATACTGACCCATGTTTGTGTGCTGATGGGACTGATCCCGTAGACATGGAGAAATTTATCATAAGGGAGAGAGGGGATAAAGGATGGGATCTAATGAATAAGTGCGGAACCAGCAGTTGATGGGGGCAGGGACCTGTCTTTATGGCTCCTGTTGTAACCAAATGAAGGCAGGGCGGGTGGAGTAACCTGAGGCTTCTCCCCTTTCAATGACGCACGAAGCCAGATCAGCCCAGATGCATGGCATGTACAGTGCTGTTATGAAATGACATCCTGGAGCGGAGGGGGAGGGTGGCCTGGCCGGGGAACAGCAGAGGATGGCCAGGAGCTTCTGACATCAGTGGTCATTACTGGAGAGTGAAACTCATCAACAGGACCCGGTTGTTCTCCAGTCGTGTTGAACTCATGTGCAGGCGGAGGGTAAGCGGGAGGCTGGGTTTAGCCAGGGTTAGGGTTTGGCCAGTGAATAGAGCAGAGAGAGGCCGGGGCAGGTGATGACTGTGCATTCACAGGCTGCCCAGTCAAATAAAAAAAACTAGGAAGTGGCAGAGCTGGTGGAGGGGGGTTGGGAGCCTCCCAGAGGATCAGGGAAGCTTTGGGTTGTATGCTGTGATCGAGAACAAATGGGTGGAAAAAATCCATGCTGGTGTGAAAAAAGCCACGACATGACCAGGGGTGAACCCAAGGGCTCCAGAGTGCAAGAGCATCCTTGACCCTCACCCAAGACCACACACATGCACACACATATGCATATCTGCGAACACATATGTACATGCATGCACATGCGTGTACATACAAAACACACAGGCACACACTCATACTTTCCCCAGTTTGACTCCCAATATTGTCCCATTTCTGCCTCTGTCCCCTTTCTCCTCAGGATCCCCCCCACCTCTCCCCATCCCCACTCTGGATCTACTTACTGGTGGAGGAACAGGCCCTGGTGCTGGATTGGTCTCCACAGCCTTGACCCTAAACAAAGGAGAAAGCCCCATGGGGGAGGGGCTCAGCTCAAGGCTTGTCCCTTGCACCCACCTTCTCTCAGCCCCCAGGACACTCGAGTCCACCACCCCAGCCTCCTCACCCTGGCCTTTTCATCTCAGAGGGGCTCCTCATCCCCTCGCACCCCCATGTGGGGCTGGCCCTTAAAGAGCAGGCCCATGGAACAAAGAATTCTGTTGTTGCAGCTATCATACAGATGGGGAAACTGAGGTCTAGAGAGGAATGACATGCCCAGGGTCCTCCATCAGGTCAGGAGTAGATGATATAGATATATTATCTATATCACCTCACCTGTAACTCAGCAGAAAAGCGATCTAGTTGGGTCAGGGAGTGGGGTGGGGGTGACGTCAGAGGATGGCTTACCCTTCTTGGGGTGTGTAAGGTCCTGGCGTGGATGGCAGGAAGGACTTGTCAGTCTTTTCCTCTGGAGTTGTTGTGGGCAGTAGGGGCATTGCTTCCTGGGAACGGTCTTTATCTCCCCCTGGGCCAGGCCCTGGCAGGGCACCCTGTGGCCTAATGTGTGAGGTGCCTGCCTCCTTGGGGGGCTTGTCTTCCATGTGCTGTCCACAACTGTCCAGGGTGAAGGAAGGCTCTGTTGTCTGCACTATATCTGACTCATTTGCTGCCTGGTGACCTGGGGTGGGCTGATGCTCCGGGTGCTGCTGATGACAAGGACAGCAAAATGGGGAGCCCCATCCTGGCTCCCCAGTGAACCGCAGCACTCTCCTGGAGACCAGCTATCACGCAAGCATCATCTTACTGGGCAAGCCCAGCACCGCTAGGAGTTAGCACAGGCTGGCTGCCCCATCCTCAGGGATGAGGACGTTGAGGCCCAGTGGAGGCGTGCAGGCCTTAATAATCCTGCTTCTCTGTGGAGGCAGAATGGGAGCCAGGGACAGTGAGATGATCCTCTGTAAATGGGATTTCCCAGGGGCTATTTCAAAGAATAAGAATCTTTCATGGCACACCCTAAAATGATTTTTACACTAACTGATTTCAAGACTTACTTTAAAGCTATTATAATTAAGATAGTGTGGTGTTGGGAATACAATTTAGGTTGCTACCTGGATCTGTGTCTCCTGGGATGCAGCTCCTTTCGCTCAAATAAATGCTATATCTATATCTATATCTATATCTATATCTATATCTATATCTATATCTATATCTATATCTATATCTATATCATCTATATCTATATCCATATCCATATCTATATCATCTATATCTATATCTTTATCTATATCATCTATATCTATATCTATATTATCTATATCTATATCTATATCATCTATATCTATATCATCTATATCTATATCTATATATCTATATCTGTGTGTGTGTGTATTCTTTTTTAATCCTTACCCAAGGATAGTCTTCCATTTATTTATTTATTTTTTCAGATAGAGTGTGGAGGGAGGGAGGGAAAGACAAAGAAACATCAATGTGAGAGAGACACATCAACTGGTTGCCTCCCCCACGACCTGGACCAGGGCCAGGGATCAAATCCACAACTGAGCCACGCGCCTTTGACCGGGAATCAAACCCATGATGCTCTAACTGCTGAGACAAACCAGGCCATATGCCTTTTATATTTAAAAAAAGACAATGTGGCCTGGCCGGTGTGGCTCAGTGGTTGTGTCGACTCATGTACCAAGAGGTCGCTGGTTCAATTCCCAGTCAGGGCACATGCCCAGATTGTGGGCCCAATCGCCTGGGGGTCATGCAGGAGGCAGTCAATCGATGTTTCTATCTCTCTCTCTCTCCCTCTCCCTCTTTCTTCCTTTCTCTCTAAAATCAATAAAGAAAAAAATAAAATAAAAAATTTAAAAGACAGTGTAGTGTTGGAATAAGGATGGATAAATATATGAATGGAACAAAATGGAAAGTTGGGAAATAGACTCATACTTACGAGGTCAACTGTCAACTGATTTTCAACAAAGGTGAAAATTCAGCAGAAAAGGTGCCGGAATGGTGCATTCGGCAAATGGTGCTGGAATGACTACACAGCCATGTGCAAAAAAAGAACCTCGAGCCAAATTCACCACTTACCAAATCAGCTCAAGACGGATCATTAACCTAAGTGGTAAACCTAAAACTATAAAACTTATTGAAGAAAACATAGGACAAAATCCTATGTGACCGTGGGTAAGTAAAGATCTCGAAGAAAGAACACCAAAAACACCAGCCATAAAGAAAAAATAGATAAATTAATCCACCAAAATTAAGAACTTCTGTTCCTTGAAAGTCACTGTTAAAAAGAATGGAGCCCTGGCCGGTGTGGCTCAGTTGGTCCCGTGCACCAAAGGGTCGTAGGTTCAATTTCCAGTTAGGGTACATACCCTGGTTGTGGGTTCAATCCCCAGTCAGATCATGTACAGGAGGCAACCAACTGATATTTCCCTCTCACATTGATGTTTTTCTCTCTCTCCCTATTCCTTCCTCTCTCTAAAATCAATTTAAAAATAAGTAAAAAGAATGGAAAAGACAGCTCACAGATTGGGAGAAAACCATTGTGAATTACATACATGATAGAGGATTTGTATTCAGAATATATAAGCACTCTTGAAGCTCGCCCTGGCCGGTTTTGCTCAGCAGTTAGAGCATCAGCCTATAGACCAATGAGTCACGGGTTCGATTCCGGTCAAGGGCATGTTCCTCAGTTGCAATTCGTCCCCGGCCCTGATTGGGGTCGTGCGGGAGAGAACCAGTCAATGTGTCCCTCTCATGTTGATGTTTCTCTCTCTCTCCCTCCCACTCTATCTGAACAAAAATGGAAAAATATCCTCGGGTAAGGATTAAAAAATAATAAGAAAAAGAACTCTCAAAGCTCAATAATAAGAATTCTGACAACCCACTTTTTTTTTTTATCCTCACCCGAGGCCACTTTTTCATTCTTTGTTCAGATAGAGCAGGAGGGAGAGAGAGAGAGAGAGAAACATCGATGTGAAAGGGACACATCGAGTGGCTGCCACCCGCACGACCAACCAGGGCCGGGGACAAACTGCAACCGAGGTACATGCCCTTAGTGGGAACCGAACCCGGGTCTCTCCAGACCGCAGGCCGACGCCCTAACCGCTGAGCCAAACCAGCCAGGGCAACCCACTTTTTTTTAAAAGGGCAGAAAGTGAAAAGACAATCCATAGAGTGGAAGAAAAAATTAATAAGTCATATATCTGATCAGAGTCTAGCATCCAGAATATATAAAAGATGCTAACAATTCAACAAAGTGACCAATCCAATTAAAATAATTGGCAAAGCATTTCTTTTTTTTTTTTTATCCTCACCTGAGGACATTTTTTTTTTCATTTAACTTCAGATAGAGCAGGAAAGAGAGAGAGAAACATTGACGTGAGAGAGACACATCGAGTGATTGCCACCCACACAACCCCAACCAGGGCCAGGGACAAATTGCAACCGAGGTACACACCCTTAGCAGGAACCGAACCTGGGTCTCTCTGGACCGCAGGCTGATGCTCTAACCGCTGAGCCAATCCAGCCAGGGCTGGCAGTTTCTTAATAAGTTCAACATACATATACAATACGATCCATTCCATGTATTTGCCTCAGTGAAATGAACAGGCCATGTGGACATGAATGTTTCATTGGTAATAGCCAAAAAGTGGGAACAAACTAAATGTCCATCAATGGACACTTGGGATGAAGAAACTGTGATACATCCATACAGTGGAATGTTACTCAGCAACAAAAAGAATCAAGTATCGATCCACACAATAACACAGATTATCTCCAAATAATCTCCAAATACTCTTGCTGAGTCAAAGAAGCCAAACAGAAAGAATGAATACCGAATGCTTCCATTTATGTTCAATTCTAGGAAACACCAACAAATCTATAGCTATAGAACACAGGTCAGTGAATGCCTGGGAATGGCGGTAGCAGGGGGCAGTGGATGACAAAGGGGCATGAAGAAACTTTTTGGGGGTGATGGATATGATTATTTTCTTGATTGTGATGGTTTCGTGGGTATATATATATACATATATTCTAGAACATCAAATTGTACATTTAAAGTATGTGCAAGTATATGTCAATTATACCTCACTGAAGCTGTTTAAAAACACAAAATCTTAAAATAAACACAAGTAGAAAGAGGTATTTTGACGTCAAATAAGTTTGGAAACGGCACCATACTCTAACCATCTCTTACAAGGTCCCACAAGGCTAAGACAGCTTCTAGGATAGCCTGGCATGAAGAAACCTGTTTGAGCTTTGTTAAACCCAGCATGTCCCACTTTTAATTGTATGCAGAACCCCGCCTACCTGCTTCCTACCTCCAGCACCCATTAACTTACCACAGGGCCACCCTGGAAACAAGTCTTAAAGGCTTGCTGTGGACAATCAAGACCATCCAGAATATATCAGTGACCCACACAGACTGTGTGCTTGACCTCTCCAGGGCACAGAGAGAAGCAGACACAATGCACCAGAATAGGGGTGGGGATGGGGGCTCTTTTATCTCCCTATGGGTCAGTCATTCCGTGCCTTCCTGCCCAGTTCTCTGCAGACATTACCTGACGCCTCTTGGGGGCCTGATCCTCCACTGTGCCTGGGTTCTGATGTCTCTCTTGCAGGTCCTCGATCTTCCCCGAGCCCTGCTGCTGCAGCCCTTCAGATGCTGCAGGGACCCGGGAAGGCAGCACTCCCAGCTCATTGCCTGGCTTGACCTGGTCCTGGCCTACTTGCAGCTCCTCAGGCCCTTCCTGGGGGGCCCAAGATGACAGCTTCTCCCTGGGAGCACAAAGGGACACCTCAGCTCCTGGACTGGGGCATAGTTTTATATTCTCATTCTTTGTAGTTCCCAGAGCACCGGTGCAGGACCAGTCATACCATAGGTGCATACTTAATGCCTGGGAGAAAAAATGAAGGACTGACATGAATTCCCCAAAGCATAAACACTTTGAGGTCAATGTCTAGGGAAGTGAGGGCTTAATATTCTTATTATTTATTATTTTTAAGAAAAATCAGAGAGAACTGGAAGTCAGAGAGGTTGAGAGATGGGATGGAGCCTAGGGTCATAAAGCTAAAGTTGAAAGCTCAGGATTTGAATCTGTGTCAATGGATGTCACTTTAATACCCCAGAGTGGTTCCTCCAGGCTTCTTCCTATGGATATACATACACGTTTGTAATGAGGATTTATTTAATTACCGTCTTCAGATAACTGCATAATCTTACATAATTGAAATTATATTGCAGTCTGGCCAGTGTGGTTCAGTGGACTGAGCATTGTCCCATGGACTGAGAGGTCCCGGTTTGATTCCCGGTCAGGGCACACACCCGGGTTGCGGGATTGATCCCCAGTAGGAGGTGTGCAGGAGGCAGCCAATGGATGTTTCTCTCTCACATTGATGATTCTCTCTCTCTCTCCCTAAAAAAAAAATCAATAAAAACATATTAAGCCCTGGCCGGTTTGGCTCAGCAGTTAGAGCATCGGCCTGTGGACCAATGAGTTGCAGGCTTGATTCTGGTCAAGGGCACGTACCTTGGTTGCGATCTGTCCCCGGCCCTGGTTGGGGTTGTGTGAGAGGCAACCAGTCAATGTGTCCCTCTCACGTTGACGTTTCTCTCTTTCTCCCTCTCTCTTCCTCCTTCCCACTCTATCTGAAGATAATTAGAAAAATATCCTCAGGTGAGAATTAAAAAAAAAAAAGCATTAAAAAAATTATATTGCATCTACAGCTTTCAGTTGTTTTTCATTTAACATTATGTCAATTTCCCCCATGACAAAAATCTTTCATAAACATGCCTTTTAATGAAAGCCTAAAACTCCCATCTTTTATATATAATCATAATTTACTTAACTGTTCCTCTATTTGGGGCATTTAGGGTACATGGGCCATTTCCAACCTTTTAGTGTTTAAAATTATGTGGCCATGAAAATTTTTCTGCATAAAAGTTTGCCCAAATCTCCAGTGCTTTCCTTAAGGCACATTTCTGGAAATGGCGGAACGCATAGATGGTTATGTGTCAGTTTAAACAAATTGCCAAGTTGTTTAAGCAGATATGTTGAAATTATTTATATTTCTGCCAGCATGGTGTACAGTGTATGTCTCAGGAGACTCAAACCTGATTTTGATGGAGTCCCCTAACTTTTCATGTACAAGAGATATTTTAGAAGTTTTTGGTTATAATCAAATTTAAACAATAAGATAAGCAGGCTTTTCTGTTTCTGTTTCCCAAGTCTTTCACTTTGCCTTTCTCTAGCTCCCTCTTGACTTTCTCTTTTTAAAAAGAATATATTCTCATTGCAGACAAATTTAAAATATATATACAATATTTATAAAATAACAATAATTCCATGGAAACGTATGTTTCTGTGCCTCTCGGCCTCTCTTTTGTTCATTCTTCTATTAATTCAGTGAATACATATTTATTGAGCATCTACTATGCACCAGGCACAGCCCCCGAGGAATTTGAGGCTGAACAAAACATATCAGAAGCTTGTGGTCCAATAGGGGGCTCAGACAAAGGCTAACCAAATATTTAGTGTGATTTGTGCAATGAAGGAGAAGTTCAGGTTCTGTGACTGGGAAGGTCCACCTTGGTCTGGGAGTACTCCCTCCTCTCTCTCCCCACTCCAGGTGGATCACAGAGGCTTCTCCCAGATCCGCTCTCTGGGAAGCCCCCAGCTCACCCTGGGTCTGCCAGATGATCCTGTTCTTGGGTCCTGAGCTCCGGAGGCCCCTTCTCAGATGCTTCTCTGTGTCCAGGCCTCTTCTCTGGCCTTTCTGAGGCCGGTGAGGGCTCCTTCCCACTGCCCATTTCTGTAGCATCTGGAAACACGGCCTGGAACAAAGATGCTTTTGCTGCCAGCTCTTTCTGGAGGGATACCCCCCACTCCCTGGGCGTCATCCTGGCCTCACAGACAGGGAGAATCTGGACGTACCCGAGGGGTGTGTTGGAGAGAGGCAGGGAGGAGACAAGAGGCAAGGAGAGAGGCTGGGGTTCACAGCCAGCCCAGCTGATAGGTGGTTGGTCAGCACTCATGGCTCTGACATAAACCTGGGGTCCAGGGTAGTACCTGAGCCAAGGGTCTCCTGCTGAGGATGGCTTGACAGAGAACCCCGGGGGACTTGAAGACCTTAGGAGGTCCAAGAGAGGCTGTCACAGTTTCCACTATTTCAGAGCTCAGGCTTAGGATGCGGGCTGGGGAGGGGCATGGACGGAAGCCTCCGGCAGTAGTCAGGAGAATAAAGGTTATAAGGAAATTGGAGGTCACAGAGGCACCTAGTGAATAACTAGGCTATTGTAGTTTTGCTCCTGCAGCATCTCTGATAACAGAAGCCAGCATTCCTTTTATGGGAACTTTCCTTCTCTCTCTCTCTTTTTATCCTCACCCAGGGACATTTTTCCATTTTTGTTCAGATAGAGTGGGAGGGAGGGAGGAAGGGAGGAAGAGAGAGAGAGAGAAAGAGAGAGAGAGAGAAACATCGACGTGAAAGGGACACATCGAGTGGATGTCTCCCACACAACCCCAACCGGAGCCGGGGAAAAACTGCAACCAAGGTACGTGCCTTAGCAGGAACCGAACCCGGGTCTCTCTGGACCGCAGGCCGACGCTCTAACCGCTGAGCCAAACTGGCCAGGGCACCTTTCCTTCTCTACTCCGCCAGTGGGGCTCAGTGGAGCCAACTATGGGCTGAGTACCACCTCTGGCTCCATTATACCGAGATCCAGGCCACTTTGCCCTGCCATGGTGATTGGTTCAGAGATAAGCACATGAACATAATCTGGGCCAATGACAGTGATACCAGACTCTGTTCAGCGATTGCAAAGAAGCTCTCTTCTCATTGGGGATGCTAAGTCATAAGATGTAAGTTAGGAAGATGCAAGCCTGGAGTGGTCAGGGCAATCCTTGTCATCTTGCAGGGAGAGCCTGCCTAGGAGTGGCACAGAGGAAGGCGGGGCCAAGAGACACTCGTTTAGCACCTTGATCCAACCATACCTGAAGTCTACTGGTAGATTTGTCAGTTACCCAGGCTGATGTGTTCTCCTTCCTGGATACTCCAGCTTGAATTGGGTTTTGCGTCACTTATAACTGAGTCTTAATTAAAACAGTTGGAGAGGAAGCCTGGGCAAGGGAAGGGAACAGTGATGTCCTTGGAGTGGAGAGGTCAGAAAATGAGGTACAAATCCTTACCTGGTTCATTCCTAATACTGCAGGCTCAACACCAGCACTCTTTCTGACAGTTTTTAGGCCAGGACTTGGCTGGGCCCCTAGAGACTTGATCCTACCCTCTGTGTACATCTGGGCGTTTCTGTTGTCCACTGTGCCAAGGTTAACAAGGGTACCACAAGGGAAACAATTAAACTTCTGCCAAGCCCATTATCTAACCACGTCTCCAGCAGTCTACATAGAGCCTATAAGAGAGGGATCCTGGCTCAGGGGAAGAGGCAGGGCCAGGCCTGGAACTGGAGGGGTACACAGCAAAACCAGAACTAACCACATGCAACTCACCCACCTATCTTTCCTAATTCTCATCATGAATCTGAGGGAAAGGAGGTTCTAGGAAGCAAATGACTTGTCCAAGGTCCAACACTGACTAGGTCAAAGAGCAGTAATTGAACTATGGCCTGTTGGATCCCCAAGCCTGTGCACTTTCTCCTACAGCAGCATTTCCTAATGGGTATTCTTTTGAATATGAGTTGCACAAGGTATACTACAAGAAAAGGTTCTTGCAGGCCAAATGTGTTGGAGTGTGCTGAGTTAAAATTAAACAGGCTCTGTCCTGCAGGACTTCTCTGAGCCTTTAATATACTAGCACACATTTTAAAGAGCACCCAAGAACATCACGGTTGCTGCTGCTATAGATGAAAATTCCAAGTACTTGGAACTAAGGAACAGGAGTTGGGGACATCTGTCTGTGGGGGACCCTAAGGTCTCCAATGGCAATATGTAGTTCATCAAAGCACCCCCACCTGGCCCTGGACACATCCCTTTCTAAAGCTATTCTGAGTGTCTCTCCATCTAACTTCATCTTCTACCATACCGCTCTCCCCTACACAAACATTCTGCTTCCATCTGGGCAGACTCCTGAGATCCTAATGCCCCAGACCCCCAGCCTCTGTGCCCACCTCCTACTTCTCTGTCTCTCCAACACCCCCACCCCATTCTTCAAGCTCCCACCTGTTTGCCGGGCTTCTGACCACCTCAGCCCTCTCTCCAGCCTCTGAATTCCTTTGAGGCAACATCAACACCATTTCTATGTGTATATCACGGACCCCTTTTCACAGTTCACTAGATTCCAGGGGTTAAATCCTACCCCCAGTGAGACCATGTGACCTTGAAACTCTTGAGGGGATTCTTCTACTTTAAATCACGGCAGGCCAGCCAATATCCATGGAGGAACCTTCTATTTGCTGGCCATGTTTGCAAATGATATTTTCCTAACTACACTGTGAGGTCAGTGGGTTCTAGATAAGGAAACCGAGACTCAGAGTAGCCCAGGGTCTTGTCCAATACCAATGGCTGGCCTCAGAGCATCTGGATTCAAACCCAGGCCCACGTGACTCCAAGACTTATCCCACCATGTTATCTTGCCTCAAAGGCTTACGCCCAGGCAATCAACAGTTGCTTAAAGGACAGGAGCCCAGGCCCTGCTAGGCACAGTACCAGGCCCTGAAGATATACTAGGTGTGCTGGTGGCTTGCACATTTTTTACCAGAGGCATGGGGAGAAGCCCCTCAGAGCTGCTGACCAAAATCCCCCCTCCCTCCTCCTTTCCTCCCAACCTTGTCTGCCCTCCAGTCCTTCCTCTGATTAGGCTTGCACCCCACACAGTGCAAACAAGACCTCCCATCCCAGGCGACCCCGCACCCCAGGTGGCAGCTCCAGTATCCCAAAGGCCCTAGGCTCTCACTCCGCATGAAGAAGTCAGCACTGTGACCAAATCCCTCCGTCTTCCCTTGGAACTCCTGCCTCTCTACCATTAGAGTTCCCAAGATTCCTGCCCAAGGGGTGGATGGCCCATCTGGGGAAAACCTCCCCCCCAGGCTCTTCAAACACGCCCCCCATTGTTTACTCACCTCAGAAAGGGTAGTCTCGGCCTCGGAATTCTCAGGCCCCAATATTCCACAAGCTAATGTTTTAAGTGGGCAGAGGCTCCAGAAGGCGTCCAGTCCCCTCTTGTCCCTATCGGGAGCTTAGAAAGTGAGAATCTGGACAAGAAGGGGAAGCCCCCAACCCTAGCAGAAAGGCATGAGATCTGAGGACAGAATTGAGGGAGGCTGGATGGCAAATACAGATTGTGACTCCATTCAGGGCACTTGGTGCCTTTTTTAAAAAAGCTATATTGAGTCCAAGCGGGTTTTGCTCAGCGGTTAGAACGTCAGCCTGCGGACCAGAGAGACCCGGGTTCGGTTCCCGCTAAGGGCACATACCTAGGTTGCAGTTTGTACCCGGCTCTGGTTGGGGTCGTGTGGGTGGCAGCCACTCGATGATTCTCTCTCTTCCTCCCTCTCCCTCCAGCTCTATCTGAAGATAAATGCAAATAACAAACAAACAAACAAACAACAACAAAAAACCAAACAAACAAAAAACCAAACCAAACAAAAAACAGCTATATTGCCCAGCCGGTGTGGCTCAGTGGTTGAGCGTCAACCCATGCAAAAAGGTCGCTGGTTCGATTCCCAGTCAGGGCACATGCCCAGGTTGTGGGCCAAATCCCCAGTAGGGGGCATGCAGTGGGCGGCCAGTTGATGTTCTCTCTCATCGATGTTTCTATCTCTCTCTCTCTAATTAATAAAGAAAAAAACTTTAAAAAAAACCCAGCTATATTGAGATTTAATTCACATACTATACAACTCACTCATTTAAAGTGTACAGTTCAGCCCTGGCCGGTTTGGCTCAGCGATTAGAGCGTCAGCCTGCGGTTCAGAGAGACCCGGGTTCAGTTCCCGCTAAGGGCATGTACCTTGGCTGCAGTTTGTCCCCGGCCCCGGTTGGGTCGTGTGGGTGGCGGCCACTCGATGTGTCCCTTTCACATCGATGTTTCTCTCTCTTCCTCTCTCTCCTTCCCGCTCTATCTGAGTGAAAAATGGAAAAATGTCCTCAGGTGAGGATTAAAAAAATAAAAAAATAAAAAATAAATAAAGTGTACAGTTCAGCCCTGGCCGGTTTGGCTCAGCAGTTAGAGCATTGGCCTATGGTCTAGAGAGACCCAGGTTCGGTTCCTGCTAAGGGCGCGTACCTCGGTTGTGGTTTGTCCCCAGCCCTGGTTGGGTTGTGTGGATGGCAGCCACTCGATGTGTCTCTCTCACGTCAATGTTTCTCTCTCTCTCTGCCTCCCACTCTATCTGAGCAAAAAAAATGAAAAAATGTCCTCGGGTGAGGATAAAAAAAAAAAAAAAGTGTACAGTTCAGTGAACTTTAGTATATTCACAGAATTGTGCAATCATCATCCTTGGGACACTTTTGTCACCCCAAAAAGAAAGCCCACATCCCTTACCTCAACCAAGCCATCACCTCAACCCTCGCACTCCACCCCCACCACAATAAGTCTAGTAAACCATCTGTCATCATAAGAAATTATTACAGTAACATTGACTATTCTCCCTCTGCTGTACATTACATCCATACAACTTTTTTTTAAATAACTGGATGTTTGTATCTCCTATTTCCCTTCACCCTTTTCACCCATTCCCCCCACCCCCTTCTCTGGCAACCATCAGTTTGTTCTCTGTATCTATGAATCTGTTTCTGTTTTGTTGTTTTCACTTGTTTTGTTTTTTAGATTCCATAGAGCGACTTTGTTCGTTTTCAATATCATTTTGGTATCGAGTACCCTTTTATAAGTGTTTTCCCCATCTGAGAATTGGGGGAACTTCTCTTAAAAATGTCTATGACGGTAGGGAAATACAACAGAGGTTGTATAAGTGACCTATAATGTGTATTTCTAGAGGCCACCAAGGAAAGCTGCTCACATCAAACCCCCACCTTGGCCCTGTACCTACCAAAAAGCAGCCGGAAGAATCACAGCGAGATTTTACACCCCTGCGCACCTCCTCACACGTGGGATGGGCTCTGTCGGAGCCTACACTGCCTGTTGGGCTGAACTGAATTCATTTGGTAAACACTGTAGTTAGCCTGTGGGTGGATGGTAGGTCGTTATTCTCAGCAGCAGAGGTTTAGGGACACATTTCAGGAATGTCTCGCCATATGTTTGGGGTTTGAGAACAGGCAAGGGACGCTCTAACCTCCTCCAACCAGAGGAAGTGCGGTTTCCCTGGGCTTGTTAGTGTCAGTGGCCTCCATTACACAATGAGGATAACAATCCTTGCACTGCCTACCTCACAGGGATTATTGTGTCAAGATAACCTCTTCCAGAGCCTTCCTTGACTGCCCCCAGGCTGAATGGTCTCTTCTCTGTCCCCTCAGCCCCCTGAGAGTTTCCCCATCCTAGCACTTTCCATTCAGCATTGCAGTTGAATTTTCCTCTGTCTCCTCTGGTCTTTGAGTTCCATGAAGGCAAAAGCAGGGGGAGCCACAGAGATGAAGCATCTGGTAGGTGCTCAATGTTCGTCTTTGTTACACTGAACCGAACGGAAAGTGCTCTGAACACACTGTAAGATCTGGCTACCTCTGGCACAGTGATCATTCTCTTAGCGGTTCATGAGAGGAAGGTTTCCTGCCTGTTGCAGCCACATGGCAAGGCCCCAAACAGTCACCGTGGGCCACCTTCACATGCCTTGGCTTCGGGAGTGGAAGTGATGGAACTTGGTTCTGATGGTCGTCATTGTCCCAAAGTTCAGCTCTTAAGAGCTGAACCTAGTCCTGGCTGGTTTGGCTCAGCACTTAGAGCATCGGCTCGCAGACCGGAGAGTCCTGGATTCGGTTCCCGCTAAGGGCACGTACTTTGGTTGCAGTTTCTCCCCAGCCCTGATTGGGGTCGTTTGGGTGGTTGCCAGTTGATGTGTTGCTCTCACACTGATGTTTCTCTCTCTCTCTTCCTCCCTCTATCCCTTCCGTTCTATCTGAAGATAAATGCAAAAGTGTCCTCGGGTGAGGATTGAAAAAAAAAGAGAGAGCTGGACCTAGATGTTCTCACAGTTGGAAGTTTCTCTGACTCACTGGGTCCAGGTGCTTTACTGCTGGGATCTCCTATTGTTCCCTGTGTTGTCTGGCACACACTGGTGCAAGGAGCTGGAGTATGAAAGAGAAAACATGGTGGCCCAGTCCCAAATTGTCACTTGGCTTTGGGATGCAGCCATCTGAATACATACATATGTGCACACTCATATACTCATTCA